CGTTCGCTACGCTAACTAGCCTCCAGTTTGAAGTTCGTTCGCTACGCTCACTCACCTTTTGGTTGCAAATTAGCTGTTGTCATAAATGTAAAAGAAATAATAGTGCTGCACCCTGTTGGTAATCCTTGTAACTTTAATGCTATTGAACATCATAGAACAGAACCAACTTGTTTAATTGAAACAGCTGTTAAGATTCATTAATTCCATTTCTCATAAGGTTAACATGGGAAACTCCAGAGCCACTGGGGCGGAGCCGATTGGACGGATCACGAAATTGATGGTGTATAAACCTATTCCATGAAATTCTACACGTATGTACCAAGTTTCGTGGCAATCGGTTCAGCGGTGTCTGAGTTTATCACTGCCAAACAAATATACAAACATCCTCTTTTATACTTATAGATTAATAAAATTCTCACAGTAATATCACTCTAAATGAAGTAAGTTACCGGACAGTTGACTGAGGGATCGTGGATGCAACTGTGACTGAACTGTGGCGGAACTTTAACTAGACTGATGTGTGAATCGACCTTAACCTCATTTGCTCAGGATTGTCTTCTAAAAAGAAATATGATTTGTTGAAAACCACCTACCAGAAGTTAGACGGTTGAAACCAACTCCTAAAAAGTTATTCAAACAACCTTTAACATAAGGCCATGGTCCTCTATTAGAAATATTATTCAACATTTATAATTATGAATATCTAATATGTCAATTTTAAAAATAACATTAAAAATTGCATCTACGAATGTTTGAATAATATTTTTGAAATTAACTTAAGACTATTACAAACTCTCCCACTCCCATCATAATATTCATAATTCGTATTCATAATTCGGCGATTTTAAGCATTTATAAGCCAATCGTCGACCTCCTACTATAACAAGGTACGATTCTCGGCTTTTCAAATAATGTCAAAAGTATGCACTAACAAAATATAATCGTGTGAGTACAGTTAGAATCCTTATGTTCGACAACTACACAGAGTTCACTGCGAGTGTCAATAAGTAAAACGGCTTATTTATGGTACTACTGCAGTATTATACCAGAATGTTGTTAATTGTTATTAAATAAATAGCTTTATTATTTGTTTGGCTAAGGTCAAATTTGCTTAGTGTACTTAATACATTTAAAATTAAATAACTTCTTGATCAGCATTGTACGTGTTATTAAATTTACGGAAAGTAAATAAAAGAAACGTCTTAAAACACTTAAAACATATATTTACGCTTATACTGTTACTCACAAGACGGTAAATATACAAGAACGATGGTAAGTGGTGATCGATTTCGATTGGACACTCCAATCATCATCAGACCCAATAGGCGAATCTAGGGGTTTACTTTTAAATTTTTGAGTATCCGCCCAAAAGGGGAGATTGGGGGGGCAACTAAAAACTTTCAATGTAAGCCCCTATCATGTGACACCTCACTTTGAAGTGTTTACAAAAACTTAAAGAATGGTGAAAACCAGAGCTCGCTATCTCTTCTCTATCCAAAATGGCAGCCAATATTAACAATTTTACCATTGATTTTCCACAACATTTGACGGGCTACCATTTTGGATAGAGAAGAGATAGCGACCTCTAGTTTTCACCATTCCTTAAGTTTTTGTAAACACTGCAAAATGAGGTGTCACTTGAAGGGGGTTTACATTTAAAATATTTGAGTTGCCCCCCAAATCCCCCTTTTGGGGGGACACTCAAAAATTTCAAAATGATCAAATGAAACTTCCTGCTAAGATTGCTCGACCACCAAAAGGATATCTCTGTATATTTTCTTGGAAAAATATTATAGGGGGGGGGAGTCTTGACTTTTTATTCACTCTGTATATATATGAATTTGAACGGATTGTGTTTTTGGCCTCTAGGGACCTCAAAACAAACAAAAATCGGTCCTGCGTCCAGGTCTTACCATGAGTACTACGGTAATAGCTTATTCCCTATGGGAAATTCGATAAAAATACCCCGCCGAAGCAAAGATGCAAACTAAGCGAATTTCTATTTACCTGGCTGGATTTTCACTATAATAATCCCTTATGGAAAAATGACTTCCGGTGTACATTTGACATTATGTAGCTCCTAAACAAGTAGGTTTATAGCGAAAATGCGAAGAGTAAATAAGTCAAATAAGTCTTAAAATTGTATTCACATTCCAAAAAGATCATAAAATTCGTTAAAAATATCTTCTATATATTAATTTGAAACTGGTTTTCTTTGTGACAGCTAATTTGAGAGAACGGCTGGGCGTAGAAACTCGGTAGAGGTGTCTAAAGAAAGGGCTTGGTCTGTAGATGAGCCATCAAAAGAGAAACGTGGTAAATTCCCTAGTGGCTCTGCCCCAGTGGCCTTTGAACTCCCATCCCATGTTATCCTTATGGAGGAAAAACTGGGTTTTTGTCCCAGCTAATTTGAGAGAACGGCTGGGCGTAGAAACTTGGTAGGGGTCTCTAAAGAAAGGTCTTGGTCTATAGATGAGCCATCAAAAGAGGAACGAGGTAAATTCCCTTGGGGCTCTGCCCCCAGAAGCCTTTAAAGTTGCCTCTTCAAATTTGTTTACCATATGCATAACTCTGCACTACTTTTTAATGAAACAGCTGTTAATATTTAAATTGTGATTTAGAGAATTTTTCAAAATGAAGTACAGTATTTGCAATGGGTTTTTCTGATTTTAAAATCGATTTTAATCTGCATTGTGTCATGTTTTGCAATATAATGTTCTATTACCAAATCAGTGGAAAATCCTAATATCACAGTAACTCTTAAAATTATTTCTTATGGAGTTAACTTATATATATTGTATGGCTTGGTTTCTGCCTTTTTTTACCACTTCTTGGAGATTGTACGTAGGTGATAATCTTTGGCGTATTGCATCTGTAGACGAAACTTGGGTTGGTGAAATTATTACAATGGAAAAAAGCGAGAAATCCTGGACAATTTTATATAGGCTAAAAATAAAACTGAATTAACAATATATGCTACATTTCTTGAGCAATCATTGAAATAACCGATTTGCAAACAATGGAAACATAGAAAAAGTCATAGAACACAACTAAGTAGAAGAAACAAAAGATTTTGATTATATCTAACTGTTGCGTAGATCGTGAGTACAGTATTTCCATAATCTTCGTGAGTCGCCTGTAATGCTTCGCAATTGCTCGAATTCGAGGTACACTAAGTAACAGGTACACTAGTTAATTCTATTATTTCAAAAATGGCGGCCATTTTCCAAAATGGTGGCAAACTTTAAAAGTGGAAAACTGTGTACTTTATGGTCTGTGGATGCAATTTTAAGACTTATTTGACTTATTTACTCTTCGCATTTTCGCTATAAACCTACTTGTTTAGGAGCTACATGATGTAAAATGTCGGAAGTCATTTTTCCATAGGCTGTATGTAACTCCTAAACGAGTGGGTTTATCAAAAAAATGTCAAGAATAAAAAAGTTTTTAAATTGCATTTTCTATCCGAAAACATGATCAAATATAGGGTGTTCCGTAAGAAATTTCAAAGTTGACCGGCATATTGGAAAATGGCGGCCATTTACAAAAATGTCATGTAATTATTTTTGAACATCTTTAAAAACAAAAGAATGTTCCACATTTAAAGTTTGCTGTAAAATCATTAGTTACTGAGATCCCATAATGGTGGCACACTTAAAAAAAACACCCTGTATATACTAACCTTGGCACACACTTATCACTTAACCCTGCATACCTTTTGTTAAAAAAGTTTACGTTAAAAATAAACTTTTCATGGAAAGTTAAACTATAATAACAATTATTAATAAATATATCTGTTTGTAGGCCTACTCATGGTCTTGCGTCCCTCACAGTTGTAAAGTTGTCCATCCATTGATGAATAAATAAAAAAAAAACTTACATTCAACGTGTTTATATTTTTTTAACAAGTTTCAAGCTTGCTTTTAATTAGGGCATATCTTTATACATAAAAAAAACTATCTGACTTGTCTGATAACTTTGCTTCAGTTTAACTCCGTTATACCTGACCCTAATAATTATATCAATAACAAACTAGGCCTATATGTAAGAAAGCGCCGAAATATGATTGAACTACAGAAAATAAATGGTTTTTTTTTAGAACAAGTAAGTTAGGTAAAATACTGGTACTCCCGCTGTTGCAAACCTGCAGACTAAGCAAATCTCCCTATTTACCTGGCTGGATTTCCACCAAAATATCCCCTTAAATTGCCATATTTATTTCCTATTAAACATAAATTTTAATGAAAAGGTTTGCTGCAGGAAAATAATACTGTGTTTTTTTATATTGTTCTGGAGTAAAGAACTTATGACTTATAGTATAAAATAAACAAGTTAGACAAATTTCTTTGAAGTGCATCCATAGGCCTAAACGAGGAAACTATATACTGTATAGCCTGTATAGCTATATAATATACTGTGTCTCATTTGTTGTATTCTCCATAAGAATAACGTAGGAATTTTAAGTTTTCACTTTCTTTGTATACTAAGTTTAAATTATAAATTTTTTAAGTCCCACGAAATAGTTTGAAAAGTAATTAAATACAAAAAACAATGTTTTTAGGGTAAAAACGGGAAAACGCAATTTTTAGTCCATTCCCATAGTCAGTATTAAAGTAACGAATAGTTTAAGTGCAACGGATGATGGGGGTGACACTGAGATGACTGACTCAGTCGTCGTCAATCGTTAATCATCATGGAGGTAGCAACTGAAACTGAACTGAACTAAGTTATGACTCTCGAGTCGACTCGTTGAAGACCAAATACAACCGAGTTAGTTCCTTCTGGTGCATGCGCAGTAGGCTAATCCAATTCCCGCCCTGAAACGCTCGCAATTTTTACAACCTATCACGGGTCTCTATTTTTACAGAACAATTATTGTTTCATACACAATAATCCAAATATGTATTTCTGCTACTAATATTACTATACTTTAACCACACAAATCTTTAGGTCAAACCAACAACTAATAGAATATTTAGGATAAAGAGCAAAGATCGTAATTACGTAAAATTAATTTATTTTCCAGTAACATACGTTCTTCACATGGTCAGTTATAAATACAGTATAAAACTAATATTCATTTAAACTACTTGATTTTTAACTTTCAGAATTAAAACTGCTTAATATAAGCTAATTTACAGTTACATACTAGCCTATGCACTTCTGTACAGAAACAAAAAACAAACAGTACAGTGATTTGTAAGGCTCAACATAACCTTTATACAATTGCTTGAATTTCCTGTACATCAAGTTACAAACAAATAACATGTTAAGAGTTTAAATAGCTAACTTAATTTTTGTTCACTTTGTAACTAGGTAAGAAAAGGTACATTTATTCTAAAAGTTTATAAAATTGAGTACAGAGTAAAAATTTTCTCTTTTTTCTTTTGAAGTATGCTTACTTTTTAGTACTTAGTATATTTAATTGTAGGATAAATTCTATTGTACAATGTTGTAAAATATGAAGCTTATTTTGGTTCAGTCCTCTTCATGGCAAATTTTGCTCTTTGATAGGCGTTACCACAGCCACCTCTAATACGCTACCTCTAATACGCTCTAATGTATTAGAGGTGGCTGTGGCGTTACTATTTGATTTATAATAAAAATTTATTGCAAACAAGTATTACCGGATACAAATCTGTTAGTAAAACCTAAGAGATAAATAACATGGAATCAATTAACCCTCTTTAAAACATGGTAACCAACGAGGTATAGTTGTTCAGTAACGTATTATTAAAAATTGGTCTCTGTTGAAATATTCTTAGGCTACCCCAAAAAAGTGTTGTAAGAGTAAAATATTAATACATAACAGTAGACTACAAACTATTATGTTAAAAATGCCTTGCAAAATTTCTCATCATAAAAGTAAATTTATTAAAGATCTCATAAATTGTTATAAAACAACACAGTGACAGCCACTTCAAAAAGAGAAGTTTGCAGCTTAAAATACCAAGGCAGGCTAGCTGCTAGAAAATGTGTAATTTTAAATGATTATCTTCAAGAGACATTATACTTAATGATAGAGAGGTCAACAAAACAAAAAAAAAAACAACAAAACTTCATTCTGTGTAAAGATTTTAAAGAACACAAGTTTTTGGGTTGCCATAACCCTAAAATACGCTCATGATATAATGCATTGCTTGTGGGGGACGAAATATATTTCAACAACTTTGCAGATTTATATAATGCAGCAAAAGATATGTTAGCGTACTATCCAACTATACTGTACAGTTGGCACAATATAATGACTATGACAATAATAATTATGAAACATATTTTCTTAAATGATAAAGCATTTAAAAAGAACAATATATCTCTTAACATTTTGTAAACTTAATATATTTTAATTATTTAAAACTCAGTAATAACATGTATTTCATGTAAAAAAGAGAAAAATATATTACAGTGAAAGCTCACTAACATGACAGTAACTTATGTGTAACCTGCACAGCTGAAAAACTGCAGACAGAAGATCAATTTTTTTTAAATTAGTTTTCATTGTTGATTATTTAACATTTCTTTAAAGATTGTCAACTCAATAAAAAAAAGTCATGTAATAGATTTATATGTAAAAAATAGTCTGTTATTTACTCATTTATTAAGACTCATTATATATTTTGAAGTTCTGGATAAATCTACACCCCCCAAACTCAACAACCTCTGGGTCAACTAATTGTCAAGTTAAGCCGCCATACACAGGCGAGCATGTTCGCGAGCCTGTTGGCGGACACGCTCGCAAACATGCTCGGCGTTTCCAACAGATGGTCGAGCATGCTCGCGAACTTGCTTCCCGCCACTGCACAGTACTCACTTCTCTCGTGCTGTGACAGTCCGAAGAGCTGAGCACAACATGCTCGCCGGTACGAAGGCTTGCAGACCCCACGCACGGGCGAGCATGTTTGTCACCAAAACCATCACGAACATGCTCGCGAACATGTTTGCCCGTGTATAGGGGGCTTTAGAGAGCTTTCACTGTAACTGTTTTTAGCAATGTTACCAAACCCAAGACATGTCATCCAATGACAACTAATTGACTGTCCAAAAACAGAATATGTATGTTTCCCCAAAATACTGATTTGTTAATGATAACATACACAAACACACAGAAACAAAGAAGATATGTGCTGTAATGCTTTATGGTATAGCGAGGTATAAAATGTAGAATATTTCAAAACTAGATTTTGACGTTACCTTTCAAATGCAAAATTCTAACCATAGCGACAATCTAAAATTTGTATAATCCAACAGCTATATTAGATAAATTGTGATAAACTGTTGTATTAAAAATCCAACTAAGCAAAGTGCATAAATAAATCTAGATACACCTACTTTAACACATAACTAGATTAAGAAAGACATAAAATACTCGTTTGATTTCACACAAACAATAAATACAACAAATAAGTACAAAGTGAGGACAATAGTTTATTTTATTACGTTTCAAGTAAAAAATATCTATCACAAAACTAGGAATGAAATATTTCTAGCACTATTCATAAAACACGGAAAATTTAGTTTTTGATCATGTTGAAAAAGCTTTTAATTTTTTTTGCATCCTAATCAAATCCATAAAAAATATGATGCATGTAAATATTATTTCAATAAAAACCGCACCTGCTGAGGATGTTGCTATGTAATTTAAAACCAACAAATATTGGCTAACCTTAAATAATACCATTATACCTAAAGGACACTTTTACATAATTTCATGCATTTAGTTTACAACATGTGTATGAAGAAAATGAAACATTGTGTATTGCAGTGATGATTGTATTCATAACAAACCAATTTATGTTATGTCAATTTTTATTTTAGGACTCAAATTATGAGAAAATATGCTTCTTAACAAATGTAGTCCAATTTAAGAAAAAAAAAACGGTTGATTTTGGTACAAGAGCAACATTGTCAAGGGTTTCAACATGTGAAAACATTAAAATAAATAAATTACATTGAATACAATATACAAATACAAATATTTCACAAAACGAACAAGGCTTGCAATATCATACTGAACTCGCTATCTTTGTTCGTTTGGTGCTGTAATGCAATTTACTTATACTGACGCTTGATGTTTTGCACTTGGAATAAAATTAATCAGCATCATTAAGTTGAAAAAAATTTTACTACAGATGTAAGGAATCCTGGTTTGATTTTACCTAGCACCCAGAAATAAGCAAAGGGTAGCAACCAACAAAGAATCACATCTGTTTATAAATCTACATACAATATATAACAAAAAATAATAATATAACAAAACGTAATAATATTTCATAATCAAAACTTATCAACAACCATGATTTAAAACGCAAGTGCCACTAAAGTAAACGAGAACTGTTTTTATGCGAAGATTATTTTAACTGGAACATACAGAATTTATAAAAAACCATTTATATTTCGTAGGATGGGTGACTACTGTTTATAAGTAGGCCTACTTTAAAATATAATGTTGAATTCATAGTTGGGTGTGATTTAATTTATTGCATCATTGTACTGTGGAAATATAGTCATAATGTACAACCAACAAATAAATCGACATAAAAAATTGACCTCAGGTAATTTTACATGTATAGAAAACAAAATTTACATGTAACATAAGTAATATTAACAACAGATATAATATAATCAATTGATTTTACATTAATGATGAAACATTTTTTGAATGTCACAAAACAAAAGGTGTCTCAGGGTGGACATATTTTAATGGTTACTTATGTTGCAAATTCCACAGAATATTTGTAACAATGTTTTTTATGTCATTGATGCCACTAGACTTTGCAATAAATTGAAACTTTAAGGCAATCTCATCAAAAATCTTATTTTGCGACTAACTAATTTAATGCTTGTAATACAAATAGTAATCCCGTAAATAGCATTTATTTGAAACAGTAGCAATATTATCTATTAAATAAAAAAATACTTTAATACACACTGTCCTCAAAACAAGTTGTATTTACAGAATACAGCTTTATAAGTGTTATACAACCACCCAGGGTGTAAAACCAAACTGTACAAATTTAAGAACATTTTCACAAATGGATGTTTGGAGGAAATTCACTGACTTATGGCGGTAAATCAAGTCATTCAGTAACGCATATGACTAGACATGGTCCATTAATTGCTGTACATGAAAACCGGGTTTATTATTTACACCTAAGCCAAAGCTGCTGTTAAGTATTAACACCATCTTTTGTTGAGTCTTGTAAGTTTTTCAGGATTTGGTCGGAAATTATTCTTGTGGCTTGAGCTGCTTGCGGTATCAAAAACCTGAAATCAGTTAACTTGTAGAGTTAGAATGCTAAATATTCCTAAATAAAGGTGAAAATTATAGATTTATGTAAATTAAATTATACAACAAAGTGAACCACCGAAAGAAATTAAATTAAAATTATTCTCACTAAATCCCATAAGGAGAATCTATTGAGAGATTTTTCTCCGTAATTGAAAAAGTGGATGTTTGAATAATGTGGTTCACAGATTCAAATCTACAATCTTGTTGTAATATACCTAAAAAATTGTATGGGTTGCAAGGTTCTAGTGAAATAAATTATTTTTTGCATAATAAAACCAGTCTAGTTTTATTTTAACATGCACATACTACCACAAAATAGCAGATATGAAATGATTTATAACTAAAGAGCTTTGTACAATATTATCTAATCTTTGGATTTAAAAAAATAGTCCCATATTATTCGTGCTACATTTAGTGTAATTTATTGTCAACTACACTCATTTCTACAAATGCAATCAGTATTAATTATTGGGAGCCAACTATTCTAGTGGTAGGGCGCAGGACTTCAGCCTTGAGGTTTTGTGTTTAAATCCGTCCATCACCAACAGCGTTCATCCAACTGATGATCTCACAACCTCTAGGGCTAGCTTAAAGTGATGTAAAAAAACAATCCCAGGCTAGAGAATGGTTAAAAATTTCATCATGGCCTGATTTGTAAAATACAAAGAACACAATAAAATATCAGGACTACCCACCTATCCATATCAGAGATAACTAGATTATCCCCCTGTTGTCTTCCATATTTGAACGTTATCAAGTCTGGCTGCTTCTTTTTACACGTTATCTTGGCGATGTTAGAGAGAGGTCGCTTGACTACTATCTGGGCAGAATCTTTCTTCTTTGCAGTTTCTCTCAGAACATAAACGTGAGTAGGCGTTACCAGTAGATGACTGTAAAAAGTGAAATATTACAAAACACTTTGAACAATTGTGTGGTTAAAAAACTCCCTTTAAAATTTTGTTAACATTTTAAGACCTTTAGAATAAATATTTGACATCCTAATAACAGACTAAAATATAATCCTATTTAGATTTTATAGTTATTTAAGTTAAGCATAATTAGCTAGTTTACGATGGTTATTTCTGAAAATTTTATGAACTATAAAAACACTAGCTAAGTAAAAGCATATTTGTTTATTTATCAATTCCTCATAGAATGTGACCATACTAGATATCTAAGGTACAAAGGATGTCATGACCCGAAAAATCAAGGGGTAAGTCAAGGTGCCAAAAAGTTATTCATTGACCCTTTGATCCCTGTATTGCCAAAGAGCTACAAAAGAAGAACTAAATGGATAGAGATTTATGAGAAACGTAGTTAAATCTCTTAAGAACTTAACCCTTAAACTCTTTTACCGATAACCACAAACCAAAACTCACCTCTCATACATGTAACCACTAAGGTTAACCTCTTGACACTTGAAGGACGCAACCACTTCTGGTTTCTTGAGCCATGCGGACAACGAAACAGTTTCCAGAGTGGCCATATCTTCTAGAACGTGGTTTTCTGTTTCTATATCTGTAATAACATTCTAATTATATCTTAAGCAGAGCGGTTTATACAGTTGCACATAAACAATCTGAGGTAGGGTCACATAATAAGCTAATAAAGCTTATCAAATTTGATTAATTGCTTGTAACCCAGAAGCTGCTAATAAAACGTACTGCTTTCTGCAAACACTTGTTAATTAATAATTGCTTCATTACAAAAACAACTTTGTTCATGCATTTTAAGCTGAAGACGAATAAAAGGTGAGTGTGAAATGGATTGTAGATTGGATGATATTTTTTCATTGTTACAGATAATTATGCTTTATCTTGAGCAAGTCCATTTATTTATTAAATGCCCTATGATTAAGTACAGCTGGGTCCAGGCCCTTCTAAAGCTTCTGGCAATTTTAAGGACTGAACCGGTGACCTTTTGACTTCTAGGCTAGAACTAAACCCTTAGTTACTCTACTTCAGCCTTGAGATATCTGTTGCTTTCCTATCTGATGGTGCTCACACAATCCTGTTCTAAAATATTGCTGTCTGTAAACGTAAACTAGTAAAATACTATATGTTTACCAGGAGTGTCAAGCTCGTCGTCAATGCTGAACACCGGTGCCATGTTGCGATATCTCTTGCCCAATTTGTCACTGGCGCTCACATGGCGGTCACTGGCCGCAGGGTTGCCGCCGCTGGGGTTCACTATGTACTCAAGCAGTTTGTCCTTCACTTCGGCCGACTTTAGTTTCATTGCAGCTCTGCAATAAACAGTCTGATTAGTTGATGCATCGATGTTAGTAAACTGGTTCATATTTCATAAATTCATTAACGAAAGACTTCACTTCAACCAAACTCCTGTCTTTTCTTCATAAAAGTATTAACTTCAATAAATAGTTATTGCTTAATCAGCAGTTGAATTTGCTATTTTTTCCTCTATTGCTTTTATAATGCTATTTAAGGGGGTGGACAAGGCCCAAAATTTCAAGGAAAAATATATTCTCAATCGTGATAGCGGGAGATGTAGACAATGGCACTGCAAACGCAGGAAACGATGATCATGCCCTCTATGATGGTGTGAGGTGTTCACGCAATTATGGATTTAAGTCATGATGACATTATGATAGACAAATTACAAAACATTACATAGTCCTATCATAGGTTTCGTTAATGAGTAATAAAGAAGAAAAATAGGACAGTATTGTAGGCCTACTGTTTTTTACTGGTAACTCTCTCAGGCTTCAAAACCCTCCATTGAACTTACGTACATGCCTTAATACATAGTCTTTTCCATAATCAGTGATAGTCAGCTTAAATATCTGTTTTTGTTAAGCTAGTGGTGTTTTTTAATATGACTGATGTACTACAGTAAAATGGCACCAAATAAGTAATTTATTTTATTTTTGAATGTTTTTTTTAGCATTATTGTTTTTTATAGAGAAGTGCTCCCACCTTCTGTCCTGTCATGTTCTGTCCAGAAAAATCTGGAAGGAAATAAAAATCTGGAAGGAAATAAAAATCTTGACCCATCCTGTCTCAAATCAAATTTTAGTACAATCCGTCCATCTTGAATTATATTTTGGATTTTTGTAGAGTTTCACAGAGTAATCAATTATTGAACGCAGGACAGGTTCACAATGGCACAGTGATCGTGGGAGATGTTAACAATTTTGCAATGACTGCGGGAGATGTTTATGATGGCACCTTGATTGTGGGAGATGATCCCTCATGGAATGAGCTACTCCTTCTTTATTTTTGAAATAGATCTTATCCTGTACAGTCCAACCTCGGTATAACGAATCTGAAGGGACCAAACTGAATTTTCGTTATATCAAGGATTTCGTTAAAACGAGGTCCGTTATATTGAGGTTAGGTTTGCAGGAATTTCGCTAAGTCAAGGTTCAGAACCAGCGTCAGTCAATGTAGGTCGGGATTTGACCTCATTAAAACACAATTAAAAGTAGCCTATGCTACAATACCTTTACAGTACAGTTTTTACATTGTAAAGTAGAACCTCGATTATCCGGGGTAGGCCTACTAAAGGGGAGGGACCTTTAATATTGCGCAATCATGACATTTCTAGTCATTGACCTTGGTACAGGTTACAAACTGTAAGTTTAAAATCACAGCTTACTCTAATTCACATAAAAACTAGCTAAACACTGTATTGTACAGCAATAAACCACGTAATGAACAAAACAAAGCAGTGGGGAGTTTTGTAAGCTATTGCGTGATAGGCCAGTAGGCTACTGTACTGTTTTAAATCACAAAAGAGGAATGTCAATACTGTGATAATCATCAACTATAGCATTGGTGTTGCCTTATTTAAACAAATCTTATTGAAAATAATAAAAATATTATATAAGTCGTTATAAAAGTGTATAATCATAGCCAACTTAAAGATTAATAAAAACACTCATAAAAGGAATGTTAAGATAACAATGTTGCTATTCCTTCTCTTTGCTTTGTTCTTCTATTATTTTTCTTTCTTAGGGTTCTCTTCATCCAAAAATTGTACAAGTCACCATAGTTACTTATCACCCAATCACAGCTTACTAAACATTACGAGGTCCGTGAAATTAGCCCCCCCCCCCCATAAAAGCACTAACCATAAAACTAGTATTAATGGTTAGTGCTTCGTTAGTGCTGGTTAGTGCTTCAACTCCCATCGTTAGTGCTCTTACGGTACAGGAGCTATGACCAAAAAACTGTGGGGGGGGGCAACTTCACAGAAGTTAGCCCCCCCAGTAGTAATATGTGAGCACTAACTTTCAAAACTGTACCAACGGTTAGTGCTTCGTTAGTGCTGGTTAGTGCTTCAACTCCCATCGTTAGTGCTCTTACGGTACAGGAGCTATGACCAAAAAACTGTGGGGGGGGCCAACTTCACGGAAGTTAGCCCCCCACAGTAGTAATATGTGAGCACTAACTTTCAAAACTGTACCAACGGTTAGTGCTTCGTTAGTGCTGGTTAGTGCTTCAACTCCCATCGTTAGTGCTCTTACGGTTCAGGAACTATAACCAAAAAACTGTGGGTATGGGGCCAACTTAATGGAAGTTAGCCCCCCCCCCCCCCCCCCCAATAGTAATATGTGAGCAGTAACTTTCAAAACTGTACCAACGGTTAGTGCTTCGTTAGTGCTGGTTAGTGCTTCAACTCCCATCGTTAGTGGTCGTACGGTTCAGGAGCTATAACCAAAAAAACTGTGGGTGGGGCCAACTTCACGGAAGTTAGCCAACCCCAGTAAAAATATATACAGTAGCCTACTAACTTTCAAAATGGTATCAATGTCTAGTGCTGGTTACTGAATGTCCAGGAGTTGTAATGAATCCCTAGTTCCGAGGCCATATTCACGAGGCGATTTAAAGCCAGCTCCACCAAACTAGAGATTGTATTAGTCATAGTTGGGAAAGTTAGTCAAAAATTCTAACTAGTTAGAAGTTATAAGTTTGTCCCGTAAAAAGTAAGTGATAGAAGTTATAAGTTAGTTAGTTTAAAAAGTAACTGATAGAAGTTATTAGTTAGTTGAAAAACTAACTGATAGAAAATAATGTTAGTTTTAGTAGAAATTAGTTGTTCACTGGGCAGTTGTTTTAAAGTATTTTTTAATGTCACATCTTGGTTACTAATATATACTATAATATGAGTAAAGATTGCGCAAGATATGATTTAAAAAATGGCTCCTACGATTTCCTCCAATTTCAATGCTATTGAAAATTGCTTGTATCTCAGAGTAATAAAACAACATTTTGTTTTATTACTCTGAGCTTGTATAATACATTTGCATTGTATGATGCCTTACTAACCAAAGGGATAATTACGACTGTTCAAAAACATTAAGTGTTTTACTGCAAAACAATATACACTGACATTGAACTAAAAATCTAAAGGAAAGGCCAAGGAGATTTGTATTTTTCGACGATGCACCGCACGAATTGATGCGTTATTACACCATCCCGTAATTATAGTTGCTACGTCCCACGATCCCAGTGACTTAATGCAATAACGGTCGTCAGATAACAGATGTTATGTATCATGAGTTTTATATTGATTGAAGCTTATTGTGGACATTTTATAGATTGATTGTCCAAATTAAAAAGTTTTGTAGACTAAATTGAGGATAGGTGGATGTCTAACAAAATATAATTGACTTTACTACTTAATTAATCGTAGTAAGACTGAAAATATTTGTAGGCTTATAAGCTCTATTTTTTACCTCTTGAACAAATCAAACACCTCGAGCAAGATCGGTCCCCTGGTACTTGTGTTTTAATCAAACATTGTCACATTTACATTACTACAACATAAACAAATGACATAAAACTTGTCAGATAATGATCATCAACTAAGACAATGTTTTGACACTTGAGATGATATATCAATCACCAAACAAACATTTTTCCCCTTCCCACCCATCAGTGCTTGGGGTGTTGATAATGGCCGTCACTACCCTTCCACAGGCCCACTGCATTCCAAAGCAACTGGACTTTGACTTTCTCTTTCCCCACCCCCCGCGTTGTTTGTCTACAACGGCACTGACACCTCTCACGGCCGCACGCAACCCTCACTGATCACGTGAAATAAATAACCAGTATTTGAGATGCTTCCGCATAATTGGGAAAGTTAGTTGAAAATTCTAACTAGTTAGAAGTTATTAGTTAGTCCCGTAAAAAGTAACTGATAGAAGTTATTAGTTAGTTAATTTAAAAACAAACGAATAAAATAGAAGTTAGCTAAAACTAATGAATAGTGCTATTCGATAGAATTTCTATTTGTTATTCCCAAGTATGGTATTAGTGTATTTAATTAAACATTTGTTATATGTTTGATCTATCTTATATGCAATGTACTGTACTTAACGAACCAGTTAAGCACTTATTCAACAAATTATTTCTTTGCTTCAAGAGAGAAGTGAAAACATATGACCATGAAGGTGCTGCGATCTGAGCGGAGTCAAGGGAAATCCCTCAAAATTTTTCAAGATTCTCCACTGCAGCACTAGTGTTAGTAAAAATTTAATATGGGAGCTACCATTGAAACTGGTGTCAATGACCTAATAGAAATTGGGTGGGACTAAAATAAATTATGTGTGCACAGTATCTAAAAATATAATAGCTTTAGTTGATATGCAAAGCATCAAGTAAGTTATATCCTTAGTGGATTAAAATAAACATAACTTCTTAAATATTTTAAAAGGTATCAAGTAGAAGTGCTTTTTTAATTTATAGCTCCTGAACCGTAAGCGCACTAACGATGGGAGTCGAAGCACTAACCAGCACTAACGAAGCACTAACCGTTGGTACAGTTTTGAAAGTTAGTGCTCACATATTATTCCGTGAAGTTGGCCCCGCCCACAGTTTTTTGGTTATAGCTTCTGAACCGTAAGAGCACTAACGATGGGAGTTGAAGCACTAACCAGCACTAACGAAGCACTAACCGTTGGTACAGTTTTGAAAGTTAGTGCTCACATATTACTACTGGGGGGGGCTAACTTCCGTGAAGTTGGCCCCCCCCCACAGTTTTTTGGTCATAGCTCCTGTACCGTAAGAGCACTAACGATGGGAGTTGAAGCACTAACCAGCACTAACGAAGCACTAACCGTTGGTACAGTTTTGAAAGTTAGTGCTCACATATTACTACTGGGGGGGGCTAACTTCCGTGAAGTTGGCCCCACCCACAGTTTTTCGGTTATAGCTTCTGAACCGTAAGAGCACTAACGATGGGAGTTGAAGCACTAACCAGCACTAACGAAGCACTAACCGTTGGTACAGTTTTGAAAGTTAGTGCTCACATATTACTACTGGGGGGGGGCTAACTTCCGTGAAGTTGGCCCCCCCACAGTTTTTTGGTCATAGCTCCTGTACCGTAAGAGCACTAACGATGGGAGTTGAAGCACTAACCAGCACTAACGAAGCACTAACCGTTGGTACAGTTTTGAAAGTTAGTGCTCACATATTACTACTGGGGGGGCTAACTTCCGTGAAGTTGGCCCCCCCACAGTTTTTTGGTCATAGCTCCTGTACCGTAAGAGCACTAACGATGGGAGTTGAAGCACTAACCAGCACTAACGAAGCACTAACCGTTGGTACAGTTTTGAAAGTTAGTGCTCACATATTACTACTGGGGGGGGCTAACTTCCGTGAAGTTGGCCCCACCCACAGTTTTTCGGTTATAGCTTCTGAACCGTAAGAGCACTAACGATGGGAGTTGAAGCACTAACCAGCACTAACGAAGCACTAACCGTTGGTACAGTTTTGAAAGTTAGTGCTCACATATTACTACTGGGGGGGGGCTAACTTCCGTGAAGTTGGCCCCCCCACAGTTTTTTGGTCATAGCTCCTGTACCGTAAGAGCACTAACGATGGGAGTTGAAGCACTAACCAGCACTAACGAAGCACTAACCGTTGGTACAGTTTTGAAAGTTAGTGCTCACATATTACTACTGGGGGGGCTAACTTCCGTGAAGTTGGCCCCCCCACAGTTTTTTGGTCATAGCTCCTGTACCGTAAGAGCACTAACGATGGGAGTTGAAGCACTAACCAGCACTAACGAAGCACTAACCATTAATACTAGTTTTATTGTTAGTGCTTTTATGGGGGGGGGGCTAACTTCACGGACCTAACATTACGTCGTCATCAGTCCTCAGTGAATGAAATAAGTTCTCATGAGTTGTTTATATCGTTGGTTGTAACATAGCGCGCATGCAGCGACGACAGCAGACAGGGAGCAGACGGATAAAACGGAGCAGACGAATGTTAGCGCAAGCGTTGACGTCACCTTTCCATTTAATTTGATGAAGAAACTGATTTTTCAAAAACAATAATGGGTTTGGGGGGTTCGTTGTATCGAGGGAGAGACACAGACAATTCGTTAAGTAGAGGTTAAATTTGCTATCTAGAGGTTCTGACAATGATAAATTCGTTATATTGAGGTGTCTTATTTTATTTTAGCCAGAATATTGAAAAATTTGTTAAATCAAGGTCGTTTATGTGGTTTGTTTGTTATGTAGAGGTAAAATATACATTGTGTCTTATGGAGGGTTCTAGGGGATTTAAAAAAATTTGTTTTATCAAGGAAATTGTTATATCGAGGTTTGTTACATCAAGGTTAGACTGTATTAATAATTTTTTTTTATTACTGTCTGGCCCAAATTTTTGTTAAGAAAGATGTGGTCTGGTTAACTCACCCTATTTTTCCGAACAAATCAGAGGAGCTGCTAGATGTGCTGCCGTTCTGGTGGCTCATCTCTAGACTGTTAGACACACAACACTCGTGACAGCAGCTGGGGTTGTGATCCACCAGGGTAGCATTCACCCTCTCCCCCAGGTATTGGTGTATGGCTAAAAACAAGTAATGAGAATCTTGAAAGCCAATAAAAAGACGCACAGTAGAGGTATGGAAGAAGAGGAAGCAGTTAGTTTGTGAGGCCAAATTAAGTTCTAATTCTTAGTTATAAATGTGGGTCAATAATTAAGTATTATACTAATACTAAAGATTAATACTTAAATTATGAACTTTCCGTACCAGTTCACTAAAAAATACACATTTCAGTAATTTTTTACTATGAAAATGCTTTGTAAAATGTTTGGTCGTGTAAGGGAAATTCCCTAAATAATTTTTCATCATGCAAAAATCATGAGTTTATCATCATGTGACATAAGAAGTAGTGTAAATGCAAAGATCAACTTATTTTGTTTTTAATATAAGCTAACTATTTTTTCCCCTAACCATATGATAAACATCGTAAAAGCTTGGCTAAACTAGATTCTCCTACTTTCAACCTCTTGAGCTTTTGACCAGGCTCGGCTTGGTTAGAAAATCAATCTGCTAGCACACCTCTAGTTTCAACTAGTATTGGTGGCAAAAATGTCAGCCAAATTTGAGAGGTGAAGGTTCAAAATGTTCATATGTTGATTTTTCATGGTATTTTGTCACTGTATTGTCATCATTAAAGCATTATCAACAGAAACTACTGCACCTACCCTGATATCCGCCTGTAAGCAGGCTGATGTACTGTGTATGTTTCTGCAGGAAAGACGCAACGACCATGTGAGTGTACTGGTCGTCGTCCAGCCGTCCACAGCCCAGGAAGCACAGATGCTCACCGCCCGCGTTGCTGCCGGCAGCTATGGCCTGCCTCTGACACGACAGCAGACCTTGGACTGCCGTGGCAAAACCAACAGGCTCCTGTAACATCTGAAGAGAAATATTGTGAATAGACATATTGTAGTAGTATTTCAAACAAGGGTTGCTGGGTAGAGTTAATAAACCGTATCAGCAAACTAAAACATACTTTATTCCATTATCTGCGCACACACAGAGACACACACATACATCACTTCAAAAATCACCTTTTTTGGGTTCAAGGAGAACTGGTAATTTAACCCAAAACTCAAACTTGAAAATTCTTTGCTTTGCTAACAAAACATGCAATGCTCTTACAAGACACTAACAACAATTCCCTCTTTACTCACCAGGTTGCAGTCCAGATGGAAGGCAGTGGCGAGGTGTCCAGCATTGTATTGGTCTGCAGGTCGACAGTCGACAAGAAAGAAACGAGGTGTGTCCTCAGTCAACTCAAGCAGTGACGTGTTCTCTATCAGTTCCGCCACTGACACAGGTAGACACAGAGCCTGGGCTATCTTACTGTCACTCTCCCCCTCACCCTCGGGCAGTCCAAACAGGCTCGTCTCCAACTCCTAGGTAAGAAAGAAATCGTAGATACATTTAAGTCTAGTAATAACAAACCACCGAAGGTACAGTCTCACAAACTCTGTGCAGTTTGAGGAGATTTAAGGCCTCTTTCAACCTGCATTTCTCTGTTCACATAGTCTTCAGACCTGGCAAAACAAGAGATGAGCTGGTAGAGTACATAAGAGTGAATGTTTCGGATCAAATTTACTGGTGGCCTCCAGGACGCAAACCCACAACCTCGCTGTCATGAATTTTTAGTCCGTCACACTACCCACTGAGACATTAAAACTAACTAATTTTGGATTCGAAGGGGTAATTTGAGAAAAGCCTAGCCAGGAAAAGGGGCAAAAAACCAATACAAGATATATCAGTATTTTATATTTTTTTTCTCATGATACTAAATTTACAGCCCCATTAAATTGAACTACAAAAACTAACTTTGAAGAAAATACATGACTTACATTTTTGATGACTTACAGCGCTGACATTACTATTCTTTACTAACGGACTAATGCTCCTGTTTTCAGGTATGGGTTGTCTTATGTGTGCAAGGAGCAAACCTAATGTGTACTATTGAAACTACCCCGGACTGAGACTTAAGTTTTCATGTCGGTTTGGGCGGATTTGCAAAGTTGTAAGAGCATTTTGATTCTTTGAAACAAACTCTTAACTGATTCAGATGGATTAAGACCCATGAGACTGAAAGAAAAGATAGGAAGATTAGGTAAAGAATAGCATAAGATATTGCAGAGATGAACAAAACCCAAGGATGTGGAGGAAAAATAATTTTTTGGGTAAAAATGGTCATGAGATTGAGTTAAAGAGTGAATAGGCCCACCTCTCTAAAAGAAGTAGGGGTCCTGTTGCAGTAGTACTGTGCCAGAGAACAAAAGTCTTCCACATCCTCAGGTTCCAGTCCGCAAGGTAGAGTGCCTACAGCAGCAGCTATCTTGTCCTTCTCTTCCTGTCCCATCTCCAGAATCTGCTCTCTGGAATACCAAACAAGTTGTCACTCAGCACAAGAGAAGTTCAACATAGAAGGGATGACGGGCAGTGAAGGAGAGGTAACAGTTAATCAATGAGGGTAATCAGGGTGTCAACAGCACCTGCCATACAAAGACCATAGCAGATGTGGGTTTTTTTGGAGACATCCAGGATTTAACTGAAACATAGATGTCTTTCCTGGGGTCTAGAATTGACAGGGAGCTGTAGGCACAGTGAAAGGAGATGAATGAGAAATAAATGGAGGTTTAAAGAGGTGAAGAATTAAGATAGATAAAGTGATGGAAGGATATTTGGAGAGAATATAGAGGAAAAGGAAAGGAGGAAAGGGTGAAAGAGGAAGACAAAATTATGGTGGGTTTGAAGGAGATTAAGGAGAAATAAAGACAAGATGGAAAGAGGGTAGTAAAGTGGCTGAAAGGAAATTTGAAATGACGTCTGAATGGAGGGCTTATGTTTAGATTTAAAAAATGTTCCTACTATGTTGAATGTGAATCAAACCTCACAAATTTTGCTATAAATATTGTTTTGTATTTCAATGAGATGTATCAGCATTGTGAGTGTTTTCCATCAATGTTTTTTTTTATTTAAAAATTCAAAACATATACTATTCTTGATTATAAAGATTTGGAACAACGAATACATTGTAAATTAAAAATCTTTATAGCACATACTAAGACTTGTACATCATTGGTTTAAGCATAGGTTGTACAACATTGTGAAATTATTTTTTAAACTACGTCACAAACTAAAAATTAAAGGAACATACCTGGCATTGACAACCATGACCAGCCCAAGGAACATGAGGAAGAAACAATCGTCTTTTTGGAAATAGAGATCCCACATAGCGGTGACCACAGGTAGGCTGCAGGTAGCGGCAAACAGCGACTGAAACTGTAAAATCATAGTTGTTAGGTTATGTCTGCTGATAAATCAAGCAGTAACTGACTTGACAGGCAACGCAACCTCATTTTAAGTTCTGAAAACCTTTGACATTTATTTTGGTTTTAAAACCCTTAGCTTTGTGATATTTAGAGGAATAAAAAAGAGATTTGCAGCTACAAAAAACTCAAGAATAGAATTCCAGGATGTACATGGTAAATACATTTATCTTATGTTAAAGCTGAGATAAGATAAAATACCTTAAAGGACTTTGAGTCCCTTCTCATACAGTACAATACATATTATGCTTTTGAGATAAACAGGCCAAACGCATGATATTTTTGAGGGGATTGAGTTATCCTTCTGGCTCCAGAGTAGGAGTGACAAACTACTATACTAGAAACACACCCAACTAACTTAGTATAGACTGAGTATAGTATAGAATACAGCTTATTTAGTTGGGAAATTTTAGTAGTTTAGGTTCAGGACTTCTATCCCACACGTGCAGTTCCAAAATCCACCAAATCACTTATGGTGTTTAGCTAGACTCTGTGATAACATTATAACACTGAAACTAGAGTCTACATTATGCAATAGACCCACTTATCTAGAAAAACAAGGAAGGCCTCAAAGGTGAAAAGAAATGTCTCTGTATTCTCTCTTGAGTAAAAAGCCAATAATTAAATATACAATACATAAATTGTGACGGCTAAGAGAACAGATTTAAAATTTCACTCACCCAAGGTGTGGCATACTTGTCTGGAGTTATTCGTCTTGTGTCCAGGAAGTTGCAGAGTTGGGGATCGTGGTACAACAACAACAATCTGAACAGGTGAAATATGTTCTTGTTACACGGAATGTACTTCTTCACCACAGCCTGTGACAACAACAACAGTGTTACACCAGCCTAGAGTTCGATTGGAACTTGATCAATTTGAAAATATAATTGTTACAAACTCATAATCCATTAAGCTCGAGAACAGATTCTTGTGGAGCTTCGGGTTTGTTACAATTGGCAAAGTTTATTGAATTTTTTTAACTTTTAGACTATTTACATTTAAAGATTTTTATTGACTTAGTTTTTTTGGATTTGCATTACAGAATTTTGCAATATGTCGTCCGCTTTTACCACATTTGAAACACGTGCAAAGTTGTTGAACATCATTACTAGGCCTATTTTTGTAAAAACTACGATTCCTTTTGTTCTTGATGATCTTTTTAGCTACTGGTAATTTGTCTCCCAATCCATTAACTAGATCAACTAAGTAGTCAATGGTAAAATTCTAAATGCTATATTGTATTAGTAAAAGTATTGTACTAGCAAAGTTTGTACCATAGTAAATACCTGTGATAAATATTAAACAACTACTACAATAGTAATAATAAAATTATTAAATCAAGATAATACGAGTAATAAATCTGTTGATCCATTGGTTTAATGATAACTAACCTATATATTTATCATGTTTCCTCTCATCTTATGAACACAAAAACTCAAATTCGAAAAAGAGGACTAGTAAAAGTTTAGTAAAAAGTAACAAAACAGCAGAGCAGAGTTGCAACGCAAAAAGAATCCATTATTTCTGTCAACCTCTACCCCACCCAACCACTATAAATCTTTGGTGGGTCTCTCCAACTAAACTCACTCATGGACAAGTGAACGCTTCATGAGTAGCATACAGATCTTACCAAGGAAGGATTTAACTCTCAATCCATTACGCTATTATCAGGTAAAGGAGACAACGCATTTAATTGATAAGCCTTTTGTCAGACCTAACATTGAACAACACTGCAGTCAAACAAAGCCCAAGCCAGTTATAGTAAGTAGGCCTAACAGAAACGATTTGAAATAAAATGTAACCCAAAAAACTAAATACTTGAAAAAAATGTTTTCTACCCTCCAGTTGTTGAACAAAACATTAGCTACATTAATTTTTACTCACGTACATCCTAAATTTCAAAATAATATCAAAAAATCTCATTGAAACCACATTAATTTAGCCAGAAGGTAAAACCTTTAAAACCTCAAGTTCAATCAACCTTGGTTCAACCTTTCAACCTTGGTTGAATCTGCTATTTGTAACTTTTTAGAGCTATCTATATTGTTTACAGTCATGTTTAACAAGGTAAAAAACACATATTAAAACCAAGTGGGAAAATTTGTAAAACAACTACAAAAAATTTCAAAACAAAATAATTTTGTAAAAACCCCTAATGAACATAACTAAATTTTCTTGGAATAAAGAAGATTTTATTTGAGATTTTATATTACCTTAAATGTTTTCTTTATAATATTAGCTCAAGGAAAACATGTAGTACTTTAAGCAATACCTTGCCACACACAAACGTCACCAATATATCCTCATGATTTAAGAGTGACAAGTTTTGATTTATTGCTAAAAGAATCTTTCATGTTACAGTGTTTTGCAAGAGACATGACATGAAGAATGTGCTTCAGCTATACATTTCAAGGTGTCTTGTCCACTGTAAGCTCTACCAAATGGTAGTTTCGCATGCAGTTCTAAAGTCGGTTTTGAAGTTGGGTTTTAAAATATTTTTAGCTACTATATATATTTTTTTTTTAATTTTAAGTTCAGAAATTAAAGTTCTAAATCATCATTGAAAGTAGTATTATCTTTCCTTTTTATAAGTACACACCATTTGTCCTTGTCCAAATAAGAACATAAAGATAAAGGATACTTTAAATGGCTGGATTTGTATGGTTCTCTAGGAAGGTAACCTAAGACTGGTTATTTATCGAATAGAAATCATAATTATGTAGCATAGTTATATGTTGTTTTTATGGTCTGTGACGAGTGACTCAAACAAAACTGTTAAAAAACTATTAAAGGCTACTCAATTCTTTATCAACAACATTAACATTGAACTTTTTGTCACTACTATCTTTATAACGATTTTTAACTAATCAAAACCACTTACGTTCCTTGACACTTAATTCATAATCCTTGCCACAAATTCACATACATACAAGAACAAAAAAATGAATAAAGACACATTCATTCATAATTTTAATAAAATCAAACCCTCTAATAAAATAAATTTACCTGAAAAAGTGCGCAGGTCTGGTCTCTGGGTAACTTGAGCGCAATGAGCGGCAGAAGCAGTTCCACCCAGCCATTACCTCTCGTGTAGTGAGCGAGCGGCCCCAACGAGCGGCGATGATGTGTTAGTATAGACTCCAGGTCACACAACACCGACACCTTGTCCTCATCTTCATTGCCAAGCTTGTCTACAATGAAAAAACATGTCTTACAGTATATTTGCGGATCCAGCCAGCAGTTAACGGGGACTGCTTTCAAATAATTTCAGGGGCTTGCGATATGGAATCCTTCCAGGCGCAAATGTTTAACACCATAACAGTAAATTCCCCCGCCGCAGCAAACCTGCAGACTAAGCGAATTTCCATTTGACTGATTGGATTTACACTGAAATGTCTACTTAAAAATATAACATTTATTCCCGATTTAAATAGAATTAGTTTTAACAAGTACTTAGGTTTGCTGCATCAGGGAGGGTAAAACTGTTTTTTTTTTTGTAAAATGTTAATTGTTAGTAAGAAATAAAAACATTTTCCAAATTTGATCAAAATATGTTCATAAACAAGCAAACTACAACAGTTTACTTATTCTCCATAAGAATAACATGGGAATTTTAAATTTACAATTTTTTGGAATTTTCTCCGTAACCATTAGGCGCATAACAGCGCTTCAATATACTAAATTATTTGTTTTTTTAAGCTCTACAAAATGGTTTGGAAATAAATTGCTAAATTTTATGTTTTTTTGGTCAAAAATGGGAAAACCCTAATTTTACCCCCATAAAACCCCCCGTAAACCCCCGTTCCCATGGTCCGATCATGCTGGATCGCAAACTCGTTCGAATAAACGTAGGTTTACACGTTTGTACCAAATTTCATCAAAATCGGATCATTTTTGCTCGAGTTATCGTGCTAACGGACACATATATATATATATCTAATATATAAAATTCTCGTGTCACAGTGTTTGTCTGCAAACTCCTCCGGAACGACTTCACCGATCGTTATGAAATTTGGTGTGTAAATTCTGTAGGTATGCGAATCGGACGTAAACTATTTCCCGTTTCGAAATTCTTAAAAGGGCTCCGCCCCAGTGGCTCTGGAGTTTCCCATGTTAACCTTATGAGAAATGGAATTAATGAATCTTAACAGCTGTTTCAATTAAACAAGTTGGTTCTGTTCTATGATGTTCAATAGCATTAAAGTTACAAGGATTACCAACAGGGTGCAGCACTATTATTTCTTTTACATTTATGACAACAGCTAATTTGCAACCAAAAGGTGAGTGAGCGTAGCGAACGAGCTCCAAGACAAAGGTGAGTGAGCGTAGCGAACGAACTTCAACCTGGAGGCGAGTTAGCGTAGCGAACGAGCTAACCTGAAGGCAAGTGAGCGCAGCGAACGAGCTCCAACCTAAAGGTGAGTGAGCGTAGTGAACGAGCTCCAACCCAAAGGTGAGTGAGCGTAGCGAACGAACTTCAACCAGGACGTGATTGAGCGATGCGAACGAGATCATCTTGAAAATTAAACGTAACAGAACTTTCTTTCCATCGGTCTGTCTTAGGGGAAACCTATAACTTAGGCGATACGAAGTTCGCCGGGTCAGCTAGTATATATATAAATATATAAATATATATATATATATATATATATATATATGAATTTGAACGGATGGTGTTTTTGGCCTCTAGGGACCACAAAACGAAAAAAAAATCGGTCCCACGTCCAGGTCTTACCATGAGTACTACGGTAATAGCTTATTCCCTATATGGGAAATTCGCTATAACACATTTTGGGAAAATTTTGAAGCCTCAAAGGTAAAACTCAAACTTCATCTTGCTTACTTCTTACTTTTGGTTTTTTCAAACCTATACTACCCCCAAGAAGGGGGGGGGGGCTGCGGCCTCCACAACCCCTCCCCCTGAATCTGCCCAAACAGCTGTTACTGTAATTAAGATGCAACATGACTGTGTTCGTCTACCAAAACAATAATAAATTTATAAACAGTGAAATCCTTAAGCCGCATTTACATCAGGGTTCACAAAAAAATTTGATGATTTGTTGAATCAGTTGTTATCAAAAATGTCTAGGTTGTAATAATGTTACAATAACAATTTTTTTCTTCTGCATAGTCAGCCAAATTTAAATACTTTTAAATGCGTAGATGATTTCCTAAACTACAATTAATTTTGTTTTGCGCAAGAAGAAAAAAAGAGCTGCTATACCTGATTCCTTCAACTTGTTTATTGAAAACAGCTGTTTTTGTTGCAGTATGACAAAAAACAATTTGAAATTGAATACCACTAAGAAAAGTAGTAAGGTACTGTAGTATTAATACATAAGGATATTAACATAGACAAAAAGAATTAAATATAGACCGTCAGCCGTGCTGCGGTTACCATAGGTTCTGGCGCACACCGCTGGGAGTGCCATGTAGTTACGGTGTACACGCTACGTAATTACACGGCGCACCCTGCGGTGTGCGCCAAAACTTAAGGAAACCATGGTAACCGCAGCACGGCTTACAGTCTATATTCAATCCATTTGTCTGTTATATTAAATAGGCTGGAACCATGGCATCGTCCTGTAATCCAGCTACTTGGAGGTCACAAATTGTGGATATTTATAGGCATGATCTGTGGAATGTGGATGTGAAACTACCTGGTGTCGACTAACATCAGCACTAATGAGTACTTCGACTATCCACAGTTACAAGCTAAAATATTAAAAGCTGAAAAAATTAAAAGGTTAAAAGCTTAAAAAGTATTAAAGTAGTTTATGTAAAGATAAGTTAGAAAATGTGAGTGGGTTAAAGGTAAATGTGTTTATGCTTAATTTTGTCCTTAATATAGGATGCATTAGAAAAAGAAATATGCATCACATCAGGATAAAAAAGGTGTTGGCACTTAAAAATTATTATAATTTTTTTTTTTTTAAGACAAAACAATTCTAGTTGAACCAACAATCTTACACTTATATAATTGGTTGATTTTCAGCTTCTATGAACATAAGATAAGCACAGTTTAACGAGCCAAGTCCATGCCTCCTTAGCAAATAACAACCACTGAGTCAGGTGTAGATAAAACCATAAATATCTCGAGATAATTAATTTCATGGCTTGCACACCGCTTTCTTCTACGAGTACAATTTTCAAATAAAGGTAGTAAGAAGGTAAAGAATAAATTTTAAGACAAAAAATAAAGAATGAAATATTTTTTTTTATTATTATATATATTATTTTTTAGGTTACAGTTTCTGAAGAGGTAGTTTGAAGAATTAGAGGAAAAGTTAATGCTTTGTTTCACACAATGTGTACTCCTAGAAATAATAGGTAATAAACAAACAAAACACACAAAACAGAGGTTAATAAAGTCTTGTGCTTGGTTTTTTCGTTTGCCATTCTGAACTTAATTGATGTCTTTACAAATAACAATTTAGATCCGAATGTTTTGAACTTGATAGCGTGCATAATTTATCACAAGTTCCTTTAAGAACAAACGCAGTGTACTCAATGCCAAAACAAATATTTGGGCGTTAGGTCACCATTAGATAACACAAAGCCAGAGTAATCAGCTGATTTTACATCACATTGTTGACTATGTGAGCACATCAGCTGTGAACATCAATGCAAAGCCACCGCCTTCCATTGTCGTCACTGGCTGTGCATACATACGAGTCACATACACTTACTGACGTTAGCTTTGACCTTTGTTTCACTATTGTTAGTACAATATAACCAAAATAAGTAAATTCAACAAAAGAAAATGTTATTGTGAGGATTTTTTTAAAGTAGGCCTAAGTGACTATAACTAGGTGGGATAAAATGTTGTCTCGCCTAGAATATTATTATCAAATAAAAATATATGAAAATAATTTAATACTATTATAGGTAAACAGTTAAAAACCTATTGAGCATGTTTGTTAGACATTTCAACTAAGTGGAAAGTCATCCATATGCATGGAAGTAATAGAGATTATAACTCAAAAAAGCAGACTATAATAGACGAAGCTTTAGTTGTTGTGACAAAGCCGGCTATTCGAATATTATCTTCTCACTGAAGATTTCTTACCACTAAATATATATCGTGTTACACCTCAAACCAGACAAGGATTTAGAACGTTTGGGTATAGGTAGGTACATTATTATTGTACATTATTGTCCTGATTGTTTTTTTCCTTTGATGATTGTTATGAACTTTGTAGTTTTTATTGCCAGTAAATCATTAATTATTTCAGTTCATTTTATAATTGTAAGATTATTACACTCTAAAAAAACAATTATTTGTAAACAAAATAATTGATCAAATAAAACCAGCTTTTAATGAACTTAAGTAGCCCTTGACCCTATGATGACACAAAAATCAATGGTTACAATAGTAGTATTACACCTGCTACTTTCAGGTACAATAGTAATAATTCTTAATGCACTAACTTATGAATATTTGAATGAGCCTTGTATTTCTACAATAATCCAACAAAGGCTATTAAAAAAATTCTAAATAAAATAGCCTAAAACAGTTTAATCTATCTCTATGGTATAATTTCCCCTTGCACTTAAGTGAAAAACAGGATGATAAATAATACTTTTTAACTAAAAGTTCAATTGCCTACAATGGTACAATATAGGCAAAGAGGAAAAGAAAACCATTGTAAGAATGTGTGATTCTTCTTTCAGGTATAGCGAGAACAAGAGAAATTATCCAAAAGAAACCCCATTAAGTTTCTCTTTCATTACGTATCTTTTTTTCAGTAAGCTAAGACAGATTTATTGTCTCCACACTGATTATTGATATTTCTGTGTCAGGTAGCCTACAACTTTGAACATTCTCTGAAACATTTCACTTTCATGTAAAATGTAGCAAATTTTATAATAAAAAAATACATAAACTTAGGTGGTTAGATTAACCCACCAAGTGTGCTCCGGTTAAATACTAGGAACTTTAATTGAACAAAGTAGTCAAATTCATATTTTATTTTATACACTAAACTGACCATACCTACTAAGAAATAGAAAGATGTTCAGGAAATGGAATTAAATATTTTTCCGTTACTGTAATAAATACTTTATTAGTCAACAGGGTGACTCAGGCTGTATTTGAAATCTTTCACGAGTCAAAAATATGTCATTATTACAGTATACTTACTTACAAATACTAGAACAGAAAGAGTATGTATCATAAGTCTAAACCGTATGTTAATGTTATTAAGAATAGGATTCGGGCCAGTTACTGTACGTCATTTCCTTATGTTTATGATCCATACCGCTTACTGTTCCAGTATTCGTGAGTATACTATATGGTACAGACTCTCTGTGTATAATCTTTTTATTTAATAAAAAATAATATGGTGCCAACAAAAATTAACAATCTACATATTAATTAATTGTTCCAAGTGATTAAGAGAGATAAGCTAGATTGGCTAGAAGATTAAACTGCCACCAAGAACACTTTCCACCGACTCAATTAACAACTGAACTGTATCCTTATTAGTAGGTATGTACAATGGACATGGAGCATCCCATACGAGGCCAGTTTCTATCCACGCAAGAACAAATCCATGCAAGCATTGAGCACTTAATACCTTACTTTCAAATTTAAATTAGGCTTTTTAATACTTCTATAGACTGGATAATAAAGCAGACATCCCACTACTATGTTTTAATTAAGTATGAAAATGAAAGAGCATGTTTTCCCATGTTAACCATGTATGAGCAAATTTTACAATACTAATTTAAAGTAGGCCTACACATTAAGTTAAAGGTATTTTACAATTGAAAACCAAGCAGGCAGGTAGTTGTGTACTACCCTACATCAACAAAAAAGTGTTTAGCATACCGTACTTGTGTTTATATTATTCTGTTTTGTATATTTCCCTTCCTCAAAAAGCTTTTACACATATAACTTTTTTACTTTTATTTATTCATGCTGTAGTTTAAAGATATCACTTTTGATTGATTAGCAAGCTTTGGAATTCTTCTTTAAAATCACCCTCATAAAGGTGAAAAACTCATAGGTAAGCTAAATACAATAATTACGGTGTTAACGATCAAGGAATATGTGACAAATTAATTTGATCTATTGCTTCTTATCAAAGGTTAAAGTTTATAAGCAAATAGAAATTCAATAAAGCAAACTCTTAAATCTCAAGCAATTAGACAATTGGTGTTAAAACAATAAACCTTCATCAAAACAAACTTACCAACAAACTGTTGACAGTCTTCCCGGAGTGTATTTTGTTCTGGTAAGTCAAAAATTTCATCAAAAATAATGTGTTTGGTACAATCTTTAACTCCGAGGCAAGCTTTCCACACTTCTGCACGCAACTCTTCTGGCACTGACTGTCCCTGACAGATTCCATAAACCATACTTGAGTTGCATTCTTCTGAAAGGGCTGTTTCCAGCTCTCTAACCCTAAAATGGAAATCCATTAGTCATTAATCCAGATGTTTAAAGGCACGTTGTTATAAGACTATTATTCCTGCCTGAACCTCTATGCTCTCAAGTTTTGAGTTAGGCGCAGTGAATTACAGAGGTTTTATGATTGGTTGTCTGTATCATTTACTACAGTGTCATATGGATGCAGTAAAAGATTAGGGTGTTAATTTAATTCAGATGCATTGAACATAAAAATTCTAATTTTGATATCCCATTTTACAGTTTTTTACTTTGTGAATCCAAAAATATCATTATGTTTTTATTATTAAAATTACCAACATTTTAACACAAAGAAATATAAAGGTGATATTTCTATTCAATATAATAACATTTGAATAGGTAGGAAGGATGGCGATTAAAAGTGGAATAAATTATAGGTCAAGTGGGTCTACTTAAATGATTGTTTTCAAACATCCATCAAAAGCAACTGACATTGACAACTTTATTAACTACGGTAACTAAATTTGGCGAAAAAAATATCAGCTGATTACTTTTCACTCAAAGACATTTAAACAAAATGTAGCCTATATCAATTTTGGCTTACCTAGGAGACGAACTGAGAACTAACTTACCAGTAAGTTACTGTGTTAAAGTGTTTGGTTCTGAGTAGCCTATTTTAAATTGTTAAGTTAGCCTATTTATTCTTATAATCATTCACCTGAAATGACGGTGAAGTCATTGAAATACAAATGTTGAACTTTTATTTTGTTCACTTTGAAGCCCGAATCGGGGATCCTCAATCACTTTCAATGTTTTTGCCAACACCAGAGACAAGCAAGAAAGAGGTAGGATACAAGCTTATGGGACAACTGTACGCTTTTAGCTCTGGTGTGGTGGGGTGGAAATGGACTTTTACCAAGCAAGAAAGAGCCGGAACCACGATGGCCACATAGCATTTTTGTACAGCAGTTGTATCGCACAGGGTCTTCCTACAGCGTGAGCATTAGTGTGTGATAACGAGGGGAAAAGGAGAGCGGAAGGGGACGACAAATAGGATTTGCACCGGACCCCAGTGACTCTTGATAGAAACCATTTAGGTGTACCATTGAAAGTATCCTCTGTATCTTACTTCGCTGTGCCTATACTAAGTTACTTAAACCTCAGCAGCAAGTACCTAACCTAAGTTATATAAAGTTGAGTTAGACTAGTCTATTTTTATTGTAGCCTAACTTAGCATTGCACAGTTTTTATAGAGATTTAAGTATTTTAAGCCCAGCTTTGGAGTATTTGAAATTTTTGTTGTAAATCCTACAGCTCCTAAACCTATAATGGCTGGAACCCCCAACTATTTTATGTTGGTCTTATAACCTGGGCCTATTGTTTTTAAAGTGTTATGTGTGTCGTGTAATATATGTCTATCTTATTTAATGACACAGTTTTTCATTTAATTTCATTAATCTAACTTTCTTAATTTTAACTTAATCCAAAGAACAAATTATCAGTTTTGGAAAAATTATGGATGATAATTAACTTATCTTAAGCCTTTCTATATTATAAATGAATGTTATTTAGCTTTTGTGTGTAGTTTTGCAGCTTAATCACTAATTTATGTTACAAAAATAAAATATAGCAAACTTAATTATTGTAGGCCTAAATGCATAATAATATACCGTATTGATAGGTAAGTTAGCACTGTTAGCAGAGTGTAGGTCAACTACACAAGTACACTGCGCTTTCTGGATGTCGCTGTCATTTATAGTCTCGGAATTACGTGCCAAATTTATTTAGATAAATAAATTGTACGAAAATACAGGTAATTTGAAGTTTGGGCTTATTGCTGTTGCGAATAATACACTTACCATGTCTGGTCGTCCTCTTCACCTGCCATTTTCCATCTCTTGATTTGAGACTTCTTGAAACGAAAGATAACACACTACACAGACACTAGCACTAGAGAACAGAGAAATTCTTTCAGCTCAAACAGCTGCTAGCTGCAGACGCTACGCTGACGTTAGTGACGTGACACAGCTGACTGAAAAAGTTTGTGATCAGTTTGACCACAGCTCTAACAAAAAATCTAACAGTAAATGTGTTAGTTTCTCATAAACGTCTATAACAATGCAGAATTTAATATTTTTAGAATGTTATGATTAATATCATGAAATGATTTCACTATGCTCAAAACACAAATTTAAGATAAAACATATTTAAAGAATTTTTGGTACATTGTTATTATACGGATGTCACATATTTTACAGCAAGCTGCATTGGTTATGTTAGGTTGGGTTATCGTTTTTATGACTTTCCTCGTTTCGTTATGAATAGAACATGGAATAGAACGATACTAGATATGAGTCATACCATAGATAAAACATACTCCTTGAAGAGTATGTCTTAACTATGGTCATACTTTCTATTTATGATAACCCAACCTAACATAACCACCGCAGCGCGTTGTATAAGGGCGGCCTCCATATACTTACTTACTTGATGTCTTCATCTTTGACCGACATTATCGGAGAGATTGCGTCAATTTATTTAATTGAGCGGAGCGAGCGAAGCGAGCGAAGCTCTTATACGTCGACTTTTATGCATTTCGTAATACGCAAACTCCTCCTAGACGGCTGAATCAATCGTTTTCAAATTTTGGATGGTGATAAATACCATATCGGTGAGTGCCAACATCTATATGGCGTTAAAAATAACTCTCAGGAATCCGCCCCACTGGGTCTCAAAGTTTCAATGTAATCCTTATGGAAGCAGTATTTGACACATAAACAAAGACATATGATCAGCTGTTGACTTTTGAATGCAGCAGATGAAGAAATAGCTGATAGCATAATTCCACAGATATTAGAACAGAAACGGTATGAATCATAAATATAATCAAATGACGACACTAGCTTGAGGTCCGTGACGTAGGAAGTGCTAAAGGAAGTACTAAAGGTGAGCAGTCTGGAGTGTGGAAACTGTTTATGACGATTAGATTTAGGTATCTGCATTCCTAAAATTCTATGGGAAGGGAGGAAAACGGGTCCACGACGTAGGAAGTGGTGAAGGAAGTACGAAAGGTGAGCAGTCTGGAGTGTAGGAACTGTTTATGACCATTAGATTAAGGCATTTGCAATCATAAAATGTTATGGAAAGTGAGGGAAACAGGTCCGTGGCGTTAAAAGTGGCGAAGGAAGTAGTAAAGGTGAGCGGTCGGGAGTGTTGGAACTGTTTATGACCATTAGATTAAGGCATTTGCAATCCTATGATGCTATGGGAAGGGAGGGAAACAGGTCCGCTACGTAGGAAGTGGTAAAGGAAGTAGTAAATACGAGCAGTCCGGAGTGTGGGAACTGTTTATGACCATTAGATTAAGGCATTTGCAATCATAAAATGTTATGGATAGTGAGGGAAACAGGTCCGTGGCGTTAAAAGTGGCGAAGGAAGTAGTAAAGGTGAGCGTCGGGAGTGTTGGAACTGTTTATGACCATTAGATTAAGGTATTTACAATCCTATGGTGCTATTGGTAGGGAGGGAAACAGGTCCGTGGCGTTAAAAGTGGCGAAGGAAGTAGTAAAGGTGAGCGGTCCGGAGTGTGGGAACCGTTTATCACGATTAGATTTAGGTATCTGCATTCTAAAAATTATAAGGGAAGGGAGGTAAACAGGGTTGTGGCGTAAGAAGTAGCGAAGGAAGTAGTAAAGGCGAGCAGTCCGGAGTGTGGGAACCGTTTATCACGATTAGATTTAGGTATCTGCATTCTAAAAATTATAAGGGAAGGGAGGTAAACAGGGTTGTGGCGTAAGAAGTAGCGAAGGAAGTAGTAAAGGCGAGCAGTCCGGAGTGTTGGAACTGTTTATGACGATTAGATTAAGGTATCTGCAATCATAAAATGCTATGGGAAGGGAGGTAAACAGGTTTGTGACGTAGGAAGTGGTGAAGGAAGTAGTAAATACGAGTAGTCTGGTGAATGGGAACTGTTTATGACCATTAGATTAAGATATTTACAATCCTATGGTGCTATTGGTAGGGAGGGAAACAGGTCCGCGACGTCAGAAGTGGTGAAGGAAGTAGTAAAGGCGAGCATTCCGGAGTGTGAAAACTGGTTATGACGATTAGATTAAGGTATCTGCAATCTTAAAATGCTATTGGAAGGGAGGAAAACGGGTCCGCGACGTAGGAAGTGATGAAGGAAATAGTCAAGGCGAGCTGTCCGGAGTGTGGGAACTGGTTATGACGATTAGATTGAGGTATCTGCAATCATAAAATGCCATGGGAAGGGAGGAAAACAGGTCCACGATGTAGGAAGTGGTGAAAGAAGTAGTCAAGGCAAGCTGTCCGGAGTGTGGGAACTGTTTATGACCATTAGATTAAGGTATTTACAATCCTATGATGCCATGGGAAGGGAGGGAAACAGGTCCGTGACGTCAGAAGTGGTGAAGGAAGTAGTAAAGGCGAGCAGTCCGGAGTGTGGGAACTGGTTATGACGATTAGATTAAGGTATCGGCAATCCTAAAATGCTATGGGAAGGGAGGTAAACAGGTCTGTGACGTAGGAAGTGGTGAAGGAAGTAGTAAATGCGAGCAGTCCGGAGTGTGGGAACTGTTTATGACGATTAGATTAAGGGATCTGCAATCCTAAAATGCTATGCGAAGGGAGAGAAAAGGTCCGAGACGTATGAAGTGGTGAAGGCAGTCGTCAAGGTGAGCTGTCCGGAGTGTGGGATCTGTTTATGACGATTAGATTAAGGTATCTACAATCTTAAAATTCTATGGGAAGAGAGGGAAACAGGTCCGCGACGTAAGAAGAGGTGAAGGAAGTAGTAAGGTGAGCAGTGTGGAGTGTGGGAACTGGAAACCGTTTGTAGCAGTTAGATTAACGTATCTGCAATGCTGAAATGCTATGAGAAGGGATGGAAGCATCCCCAAGACATAGAAAATGGTGAAAGAAGTAGTAAAGGCTAGCAGTGCGGAGTGTGGGGAATGTTTGTGGCAATTAGATTAACGTATCTAAAATACTAAATTGCTGTGGAAAGTGGTGAAAACAGGTCCACGATGTAGGAAATGGCTTAGAAAGTAGTAAAGTATGAGCATAGTGTGAAAACTGTCTGTAGTAGTTAGATTGATGTATCTTTAATCAAAAAATGCTATGAGAAGGGAAGGAAACAAGTCTCTGACGTAGGAAATGGTGAAGGAAGTAGTAAGGCTTGCAGTGCAGAGTGTGGGAACTATCTTTGGCAATTACATTAATGTATCTGCAATCCTAAAATGCTATGGGAAGAGAGGGAAACAGGTCCACGACGTTGAGGGTGGTGAAGGAAGTAGTAAAGGTGAGCGTGTTGAGTGTGGGAATGGATTAATGTATCTGCAATGCTAAAAGGCTATGGGAAGAGACTGTAGACTGTAGGTTAAAATAACTACGAAGCACGAATCGATACATATTTCGATTCATGCAATCGTTTACAATATAGAAATTTACAACTGAGTTGACAACAGCTGATTTTTACTCCATAGAGGATACAATCTATTTTTACTTCCTAAAGAGTAAAAATTCTACTTTAGACCCGCAACGCATGCTTTAAAATCAACTGGTATTACTGTAGTATGACCAAAACAATATAATATAAACTCTTGATGGCTCCGCTCAATTTTGTGGATGCCTCTGCAAACGCCACCTAGTATATACAATTTTTACAAAACTAATATTTACAAACACTACAGACAATTTGTGGCATGGTGGTTTGGATTAATAATTAGGTCTAGTTATATTATCAGAATCAGGATGGAAAGAGTGGCTCTTCAAGCTTGGCCAATGAGTACTTAGAACGGCCTTTTCACCACCAGGGCTTTGAGGAGGGTCTTTTTGAAAAGCTTAATCTTCACGTCTCTAACAGTTATAGGAAGCATGTTAAAAATCCTTATAGCATACCGTGGATAGCATTTCAGAGATCTGCTTAGACGACATCGGTGCATATCAAAGTCTACCTACTGCATTTCTGTGTCTCATAAAAATGCTGGCCACTCCTTCTGTCAAAGGGTCACTCCTTCTGTCAAAGTAATACATATAATACAATTACCGAATTTTGATAGTTTAGTTTGTTTAGGTTACTGGTACCTTTTACTACGTTCTATAAGTTGTAGGCATGCAGTTATTAATTGGCACAGGCTGAAGGCTTAAAAAGGCAATATTTCACATCTTCATTTTTAATTGTATAGACTAGTTTTTGTTATCAAATGTAAGGTGCTAACATTTTCAGCATTAAATTGATCAATCGCTGTCGTTCTGTAGCTTAAAGGGACAAGAGGAGGGCGGATTCCTTTAAGGTGGTATATCACTATTAAATCACAATATCACCAAATGGCTGTATTATTTTAAGTGATATGGGTGTAAATGGACGTATGTATCCTGGGTCTCACCTGCCAGCCCGCTGTGCTGATAATGCTATTATTCTAAAATTCTATACGTCATCTAATCCTAAACTCTCGTTGATTATATTATTTCCTTACCAGTATGATTCCTCATGGAGAGGCTCAACACTAAATTCGTGAGATTTCTGCTGTGGACGGCTTGCGTTAACCTTTCCGTCTTTAGAGATACGAAGATGTTCAAGACACATATTGTTCCTTTATAAAGTGGTTAATATCTTGATTGAGGTCTCGAATTGAAGGTATGCACGCACAGATTTCACATCAAACATCGGCAGATGTTTATCTATTATCCCTTTCGGCTTACACGTTAACGAAATTTGCTCCCCCCATGTATTTCTTATGTGAGTTAAATTTGGTTGCTTTTTCGAGTTTGTTTGGCTTTTCTACCCGACCGATTATCATGACTTAGGTCTCAAATTGAAGGCATGTTCACCAAGTTTTCACATAAAGCATCGGCAAATATTTACATACTGTATTACTCGACCAAATCACATAATTTGATTTATTTTCTAATTCTTACTTCAATTTAAGATGTGCCTTCACCAGTTACAATTTTATAATCCTATATAATTTTGTTTAAGAACCTTTAATGAAATACTGGCTCCCATTTAAGCTATTATAACGAGGATTTCCAGCTGACCTCCCACAGAACATCACTCTTCTCGAAGAAAACTTCGTCTGCTGGAGCGAGGCTCTTCAACCTGCTCCCCCAGATTGTTAAAGACTGTTCAGCCCCAACGTTGAGGAGGCAAATTTGGAATTGGCTTGTTGACTCTTCAATTTACAGCCTTGAGGAGTTTACGGCCTGTGCAAAAAACAAGACCCCATCTCTACGATTGAACTAAAAATCTTATCGTGTAAAAAAGATCATGTTGGCTGGGGTACTTGTTTATTTCTTATTGAATAGTTATTCTCTTTTACCATTTTTATTCTTTGTTATTTTTCAACTGTAAATAGTTAATAAATATCATATCTCCATTGCTTTCTTCTCTGTAAAGGATTCCGCAAAAAAAATAACAAATATATATTCAACAGTGTGACTGTAGTCTTAAAACACTCTTGTTTTGTTTTTTCCCCTCTTGCTGCCTACTATTCCGTATTCAATTTACGATTACGGTGTGGGTGTACGGTACACAGATTGGTTTGTTTTTTGTTGTTGGTTTTGGTTAGGTTAGTTGTTTGTTGTTATTATGAGTTAACCTCAAAAGAAACTGAAAATCGCTACGAAATAATTCCTAAAAACTGCAATGAATAATAAACTGTAAAAAAGCGTTTGTAAAGTGGAAACATTTTTTAAACATTCTGCTTAGTGTTGATATGCGCCGAACCACAGTAGTATTTAATTGGGTGCACTTTCTGTGTACATTTCAATTAGGCCTAGGCCTATGTTTGATTATCATTGTTTTGCCTTTAATCGACAGCAACGAAGTTAACCAGCTCAGACAAAATGAAGATTTATGTATCCTTTACTTTACTTCTAATTTTTTCTTAAGCCGATTTATTTTATGACAGGTTAGCTAGCGTAGCTTTAGAACGTGGCATAGTGGAAGTCTCATACTTTTATATATATCGGCAAGACATGATAAGATAAGGTAAGATTCTACTTACTTTTGCCTGAAGGTGTCAAATGTAGATATTGTTCATGCTGTACATGTTTTGAGCTACCTACATTAAGTTACACAGTTACAGCACATCTTCAGCAGCATTCTTGTATCTGTGAGTGTTAAATGTACTTAATTAAAACTGTTTAGTGCTGTGTGCTACTAAATGCAATGTTTATTTAGCTAAGTATTAATTTACTTTTTTAACTCTTAAATAAAACCTTTGTATACCAAAATTCTTTTAAGATAATTAGTGTAAACATATTAAAAAGTTATGTGGTCTTACGTAGGCTATAAACTTACCCAACGATAAAGAACTACTGGATTGCGCTCTCACTAGCACTGTGGGCGCTGTTTTTGGTCTAGCTTCCCCCACCATCTACGCGTCACAAAGTTGTTTTTACGCTGACAGCCTATTCCCATCATACGATGGGTCAACGGCCAAGAAGATGGTAATAATAATAACTCACCGTTATAAAACGCACCTTTTAAGTTCCTGCTCTCTTGAAATTTAATAGATATAAAATATTTTTAATGCATGCCAAACTCTTTTTACTAAATCTAAACTGTATGTATGTTTCTTTTCTTCCGGAAAATAACACATTTGAAATCTTTCAAGCCCAACTACTTACATTTGTCCAGTTTTTACCGCAGATGTTTGACGATAACGCGATGGCTGATGAGCCTACTTTTTTCTTTCGCCTTTTTGTTAGGTAGGCCTACCTATTTTGTAAGATACATTGTCATTAGACATTACACATTGAAACTAAAAAATATTAAGTTTGAACATAGGTCTGCAACAAAAACTTTGCAAAATTATGCTAGATTCAGAAGTGTTTAACTTATGTAGCTACTATTTTTTCGTTTAATAATATATAGGTTTTAAATTACAAATATTATACTTTCTATTTCTCCTTTTTAACTACTTTTCATGTTACCATGTGCAGTGTGGAACTAACAATATCAGTTGTCTAAAAATATCAACAAATCGAGTTTAGTGAATTTGTAGTTTTAAAGGATTCAGATGGGTTATTTTCTGCAAGAAACAAAACACACGTAAAGATTTAAATAGTATAAAGAGTTTAACATGCGTTAGCAATATTACCCCTAAATATATATTTAAACAAAGCAGCAACTAAAAATGTGAGTTTTATAATTGTGAGTATATGGGTTGCGTCGGCTTCAGCCAGTTGATGGTGGGGGAAGCTAGACCGCGCGGCCATCACTGAGCCAGTGATCCATGAGTTGTTTATATTGTTGGCTATACCTAACCTTTTATATTTGTTGCTAATTGTTTGGTGAAAAACATGGTATGCATCTCACCAATAGAGGTGTTTGTAGTACCTAGGCTACTCACTTAAAACATAGTACGGTAGGCTATTATTAAACCTCTTCTACCATGTTTTTAACTGATATTACTGCCTATGCCTATTTTCTTGTGATAGAAAAAAAATATTACTTTAACATTATACCTAGTTAGGAAGCTATTTAAAATTAAAAGAGCCGAACAACTAGAGGCAGTCAAGAAGATGGTTAAAATTGAAGAAAGTAAACAACAAAAAATGGTGAAGACTGTTACAAAAACAATTTTTGATGTGAGTACTATAATATTTTTAATAACCGGTAGAATAGTGAAAAATTCCTTTATGCAGCCCTAATCAAACCCTAATCGAGTGGTTTTTACTTTCCACCCTATACCATTGTATATGGAGAAAGTATTGTTTTTGTCCAGTTTGAATTTTGGATGGACTGTCCAATTAGAGTACTCCATTGCTGTAAAAATTACGGTTCAAAAGCTAATGCTACTAACCTAAATCCAATCTCTCTACTTTTACCGAGATTTTTTTTGTATCTTTAAGACAAGGGTCCATGAGGTGTAAATAAAGGTGACAAAGTTGGCCTACATTCATGCCGAAATCTACCTAATTTGCTGTCAGTGGATTAGTTATCAAGTTGGTTGATGGTTAAAACTTAACACTAATACCTAAACTGACCGGCTTTACCGGCTGACGGTAACCGAAACCCCTGGTCTGTGAGACCCCATTTGAAAAATAATGGACCCCGCTTAGACACACACAAACCGAAACCCTCGGCCTGTGAGACCCCGTTTTAAAATACACTAACGCAGGGCTTCTGAGACGGACATTTTGTGAACAGACAACCTGTCAAGGTCACGGCAAAACCCATGCAAAATGAACAAACAATATATTAATATGTAGGGGAGGAAAAGGGGGATGGTATTGGAGGAATGGAATCTCCCAAGGAAACAGTGTTGCCAACATGCGTTTTCGAAAATTCCCGTGGGCCTGTCAGACCGGGGTTAATCCTGTTAATACTGTTCAATGAAATGGCGACCATACATAGTAGGTATTTTAAGCCAAGCATGAATGGAGATGAGTGTAGAATGAGTGGCGCGATCTTGTAGTCTTGTTAGTGACTATGGCCGACATTCCTTAGACACAGCTGTTAATTAGTAGCCCATACAGCTAATGGCAACTAAGGGACCTACAGTTTATAGTGGAATCCGAACCACATTTTTCCTTGGTATATACGAATTGGTCTAATTATCAGGATAGTACTGCGGATAGTCGTAGTACTCACTCGTGCGGACTTTAACCCACACCAGGGAGTATCGCATCCACAGTGCATGCCTATAAATATCCACAATTCGTGACCTCCTAGTAGCTGGATTACAGGACGACGCCACCCGTCCCAGTTTCGGTATTAGTGTTAAAACAGAAGAGAATTTTGATTTAGAGTGAGCTTTTTTGATTTTTTTGTCCTTATGATGTTAATGTAACTGATCCAACTAAAAACTTTTTTCCTGTTTTAGGTGATGCTGAAAAGCCGAGCAGTGTTAGAAAACTCAGGTTACACTCCAGGAGTCAGCGAATTTCCAGAGTCAGAATCTGTCAAAGATGGTAAGATTTCATGTGGTCTTTATTTTTAAAACAAATATACTTACTCAAACTCAATTCACATCATGACAAAGTCACTAAATAACCTGTAATTGACTTGTTCATAAAAAATGTCTATGACTTTATTAGTTCAGTACCGGTAGTATAATAGGAGTAGCTCCAGGGTACCATGCAAATTAAATAGGTGCACTAAAACCTGGGACAATAGAGGAACTGGACCTCCATGCAAATCAAGCCAATATGTCTTGACATTTAGGTGCGAGTGAATGCATTGTTTTGTTTTAAGTTAAAAAGAATATTATTGATAATTGATACAATGCTATTTAATAGTAATTTATAGCTGAGTGGTAATAGTACTTGCCCAACAATTTATAGTTGCCGATTCAAACCTGATAAAAGTCAAAACTTTTTGATGGATTAAAACTGAACCCAGCTTTGATCTTATCAAACAAGTCTTTGATCATGGGGCTTTCAATAAGGTATTGGCTAATAAAACAGCTGGTCTTGGTCAATAAAAAAGCTACACAAGGCATCTCACTTAATTCTACACAAAGACTTGGGTTAAAAGACACACCTAAGTGGGCCCCCATCTCAATTGGTAATTATATATAATAATTCCTTGCACAGACCACAGAACTCTAATTGTAACAAAGCGCTCGAGATTTGTTGATGATGTTGTCTTATTAATTACATTAAGGATTTAATGTTCCACCCTTTTGTTGATGTCAGTTTGTCTATTTACGCTCTAACACATATCATTTTGCCACAGCTCTGTCTCTTATCATTGAGAACACAGCTCTGATAGCTGAAATCGTCCTGAGATTGCCAGATGTTACCGAACAAGTTCTACGCTCAAATACTGATTGGTCCTCTATCTTACCGTGGAGTCTAACTTTTTGCAAGGAATCTCGTCTACTGGATAGCTCTACCAGCAAACTTTTCAATTTGGTCAGTAATCTATAGTAGGCTAATACAAACCCCAAAACCGATAAATCTGTCAAAAATATCTATGTGGGTCAAACTGTAAATAAGGTGCTTTGCTGCTTACAACATACCTTTACTGTATGTGAGCAAGTCCTTGAAAAACTAGTTCTTTTAGTTAAGATTTTCCTGGTTGTTGAAATATTTTGGTCACAAGATGGGAAAACGTGATTATTTTTAAGCAGCAGTCAAATTCTGTATTAACCTTGTAGAGTTTAAAGGATATGAATACAGTTGGCTCAAAACGTATAGAGACACCTCCTCAGGAAGAACGGGCCGTCCTAATCCTCTGTTTACATACCCATAGCCTTCATTCGTGGCGTCCACCCCTGACTGCCGGCATTCCAAGAGAATCTGCGTCACACTATAGTTTGTAATCAATTGATACGTTAGACCTACATAAAAGAATGACGGCTCATTTTTGTCTTAGACGAATAAGAAGCAATTTTAATCACAGTTCTACGATATACCGTTGCCGAAATAACGCAGTTGTTTGTTGGGAAATACCAATTTCAGTAATAGTAATGAAATATAAATGAATAATGAAATATTTAATGTATTTCTTTATAGTATAATAATGAAATATTTAAGTACGATTTCAAGTTGATGTATTTAGATAAAAATATACTTTGTTTACCACAGGTTAGTCAAGAACTCAATTTTACCCAAAGAGGACCAGACTACACAAACCCATATAGAAAAATCAAACAGCAGCCCAAGGCAAATGCAGGGATTGAACCTGTCAAGAAGAAGAAAACTCCCTTGCCTCGAGGTCCAAGATTAACTTTACGACAAGATTTATAGAATTCACTTGATAACTCTTAGGCACCAACAAAAATAGTATTTTTGATGAGGAACTCATGGTTTGGGATAATCATTTGATAACTGTACTAGTCACATATTTCAACATGTTATTTCTAAAAATGTTTAATTGTATGACAATAGGTATATGTTGAACAACAAAGGTACGCATATCAGAATAACCGTGTGTCATAAGATTTTTTACTAGAACCTTCACTTAAATTTCATCTTAGTTATTGTATTTGTTAAATTTTACCAACTAGAGCAGTTTTAGTAACTGAGGGAATTGTTAAAGACTTTTAGTAAATAATTGATTATTAACAAAATAATCTTTTGTTACAACTTTTTTTGTGTTGTTCTAGCTTGGTTACAAATATTAACTAGGTTTGTATAGATAACAATTGAGGCAATAGCCTACACTATTATTGTCGGTTTAGCCTTCCTCAAAAATAAGTTTAATGTTCCAAAATGTTATGTGTTAGCATTTAAATTCACCAAAGTGCATTTGTTTTTCTACTGTGGCATTTACTGTTTATACACTATTTGTAAATAAAAAAAACTTAATAAAAATTATCCTGTTGTTATTGGTGCATTACCTTTCAAGTTAATATCTTTTAGTATAATCAAATGTAAGAATAGGAGTACATATTTAAAATTACTAAAATTAGTAAGAGAATTATTTACAAATCCTCATTATTATGGAAAACAAAAGAGATTTAGTAACTGTATTTTCGCTACACTACTGCGTTTCACCTTTTTGCATTTTATGTTAATCGCCTGCGAAAACTCGTCATTACCATTCATTGTCTATTAAGCAAAAAGAATGTTAATTATCTTTTTGCATTTTACCGACATAAACAAACATCTGTTATTGTTTCATCAACTGTTTCAATTTGCAACAACCAAAACTGTACAATCAATATAAATTTAAACTTTAGAGGGCCTAACCCATAAAAACTATGGTAATAGCTTATTCCTTATATGGGAAATTCGCTTAATTATTTTGGAACGATTTGAAAGATAGGATTTGATAGATTAAGTGCTGGAGGACTTAGGCCCAGCGCACACTGTGTGACCGTTTTACAACTTTTGTTGCAAACCAGTTGCGCGTGCAACTGCTTTGAGACCATTGTTTGCGATTTCCAAACAAGTTTGAAACCAGTCACATGCAACCGTGGGCCCGACGTTGCAGTTGCGTTGCAGACTTCAGTTGCACGAGACCACGGGGTGTTTTTGAGGTGTTTGGTGGTATTTTAACGGCCGTGTAGTGTTTTTAGTGTTTATAATTTCCTATCCGACTAGCTGTAGCTGCTACAAACAGCCTAGTACTAACATTCTTGCTCAAATAAGAGTGAACTCAATCCTCTCTCAGTACCCTTCGCTGTCTTCGGTATTGATTATAGCTAATAACGTCTTCTAGGTCTGACGTAGTAACCGCATTTAAGGCCTTAAAACAACGTAAACTGCAATAAATTGACACTCCTCAGATTGCACAATAGACGCAACCGTAGTTGTAAAACAGTCACACTGTGTGCAGACAGAAGTTTTGTTTCAGTTGCAAACTGGTTTCAGACACAACTGAACTGGTTTGCAACAATGGTTGTAAAACAGTCACACCGTGTGCGCTGGGCCTTAATGGTAAGTGAATGGATGATATTCTAGACAACTAGTAGACCCATCCCCCCTCCCCCCAAAAGATAACCGATCTGCTTCCCAATATGTACATATGTACGTACACGCTCACATACATACACTGCCACACCAGGATACACTATGCTGTCCTCGTCCCAACACCAATAAGCGACTGGTAGCCCTATGAGTACTAGGGCCGGCAATGCTGTGTCCCTGTGTCATAGCAGGGTAAGTGAAAGTGGGTCATTAAAATATTCTCGACCATATTTTGGTTAAGTGCAAGATTTTGGTCTCAAATAATGTAATGACTGAATGACTCACTTTCTAAACTTTTTTGTAGGCCTACTCCAGCTGACCTAAAGGAAGTAGTGATGTGTCAAATCTCAAAACCATCAAAACTCAGCGAAAAGTTTCGGTTTCAAGATTCGATCATAGGGAGTTTCGAGATTCAAAATTTTTGAAATTGAAGATTTTGGAAGTTTTATTCTAGAAACTGCTGACATATTTTGCAACATTATTATTGTGTCTAACACTGTTTCCACTTTCCACACAAGCTGGTAGCAGATCACCATTAATCATTTATATCTAGGCTAGTTTAGTACTTTACTTGACACTATTTTTGCATCCTATAGGCCCTACATGTAATGAAAATAAAGACGTTTTGATTTGATTAACAGTAAATAAAATTGTATTCTGATTCTGACCTTAAAAAGGCATCTTGAATAATATGTCTGGAACAACATACAGCTTAGTTTCATAGCGATATTTAATAAACACAAATAAATATTGGCCACTAAAAATGTCCTAATTAATCTAATATTCATGTTTATGTTTGTTGTTAGGAGCTTAATTTAATTTAATGTCATATCAAATTATTTTGTTTTAGGTTTTTCAGTTACATATTTATGTTGTCAGTGTCAGGAGTCGACCTCTTCCAATTTGATTGCATACTTAACAGCTACCTTGATCTCTCCTCAGTGAGGTGCATATTTGTTTACAGAGGTTGTTATCGAGGTTCTACTGTAACTCAGTGATGAAAATGTGTTATGAACAAGAGCAACAAGTATCACACCAGCAGACACTTCCATGGAAGACCATTGTTAATGTAACTTAAATAGTTTTTCAAAGTTGTCTTTACTTTTGGTTACTCATTATATATTGATTATTTTTTCAAATCTATAAAGTTATTGTTAATGAGTGTTACGTGAAGCCTTTTATGTCACTAATTGCAAGCTGTGTAGGCCTATATGGAAATGAGATTCAGGCAACATACATCAAATTATTCTGAACAGAAAATTTTCAAGGTATAAAAGTTAACTTTTAAAACAGTGTAAAATATTTTATTGGTTTATTCGTCTTGAACAACAGTTGTTTTCTCAGAGACGTACAGGCCGTCCAAGAACTTACGGATATCTTTGTCCTTTACTGTCGTAGACTGCTGGATAAGAGCGGCTGAAAGAGAAATAATAATTGTTAGTGGTACTGTAATTCAAATAATAAGTTAGATAATTTACTAAATGTTAGCAAAACAAACTCAAAATCATTAAGCAGAGTAAGCTCAAACCATAAACTTTCCCTGTATGTAATTTTTAACAAAAATACTTCCGTGTAGAAAAATGTTAACACTGATTACAAATAACTTAAATAGATAAGGTAACATTGCATCCAAGTAGGTGTTTTAAGCCAGGTATGAATGGAGATGAGTGTAGGATGAGTGGCACAATCTTGTAGTCTTGTTAGTGACTAAGGCCGACTTATTCCTTAGACACAGCTGTTAATTAATAGCCCACACAGCTAATGGCAACTAAGGGGACTACAGTTAATAGTGGAATCCGAACCACATTTTTGCCTTGGTATATACAAATTTGTCTAATTTTCAGCATAGTACTGCGGATAATCGTAGTGCTCACTCGTGTGGACGTTAAATCCACACCATAGAGAATCGCATCCACAACTCGTGACCTCCTAGTAGCTGGATTACAGGACGACACCACCCGTACCTGTCTTTTTTGATTAAAGATTGAGTTTGGATTTAACTTAACACAGCACAGCGACATTTCTACATACAGTCAAAAGCAGCCGGACCAGATTTTAATTAGAGAGCCAGATTTTTGACTGAGTCGAGATAGGCCTACACAATATATAATCCACAATACAATTCTCAAAAGTAAAAATGTATTACCATTTTTTGTCTGATGGGTTTTATTATAATATATTTAGAGTCTCAGAATTTTATTGTTATATTGTGGAAAAGGTCTGCAAACATTGTATGAATGGAAATCATTGTTGGTGTAATCACAGGATATTGGAGGGTAAGTTATTGAATTGTCAGAAAGTATAGCAAATCTATCATTGTTTAAAACCACCTGGTTCAGTACAAGTTTTGATTAGCCTAGCCTACTCATGTATCGAGAGACTGAATTGGTCTATCTCTGTTTTTAAGACTAAACCACAAAATCCACACTTCTGCAAAGCCAGTTATACGGCTTTATCATTGGGTTGAACCCTAATAAAACCCTGATACCTCAAACAAATCTCATTCAGCCTACCTGATCGTGAGACATCTTCGATGCTGTTTCCTTCAACAATCAGCTCATCCTTCTGTTTGGCAGAGTTGGTGACAGTGACACCTGGGGCCATCTTCACCCTCCTGATGTACTTCTCACCCAAGAAGTTCCTCACCTCAATCACTGTGTTGTTCTCTGTGGTCACACAGTTGATGGGGAAATGGGCGTATACGGCTCTCATCTTGTACAAGAAACCCTGAAACAATCGGGAGGATCAGAATGTGTTTTAAGTTCAGTAATAAAAGATGGGGTTTTAAGTTCAGTAATAAAAGATGGGCATTTCATGGTAAAATCATTCCAGAATCATACATTACAGAAAGATACCTACGTAGTTATCATCTGAGGTGAATTCTACTATGGTAAACAAACCAAATACCAGACCTCCGAGTTTCGTTTTAAATAATAAGCATATGCTTCATCTAAACAATGCCAACTTAAGATTAATGCATACGTTGGCATTTAATCTGTCTTCTGACAAAAGGGTTTGTAGATTGTCATTGGCTACTAGATTCAGTGAGCCGCGATTAATGCTGTTCAGTTTTGGCAAATTTAAAAAAAAATTTGCTCTGGCAAAATAAAATTGTCAAGACAAGTCTTAGTGCCTAGAATAATTTTTCAGAGTTGTGCCAGACAGTACTTTCCTGTTAAAGGGAAGATTCATAAATTATTGATGATTTATTTTCGAAATATCAATATTTTTGTTTCCCTTTACGATCCATGTTCTTTCTGTTTTAATATCTTCAAACGCATTTAAATTACAATTTGAGAACTAAGCTTGTATAGGAAAACATAACAGCCTAGGCCTAATGGATTAAGAAATAAAACTGTTCTAACCTAACATTTAACATCACCTAACTAATCAAACTTGCTGTAGGCTACTATTTCAAAATTATGTTTGATAACAGAAAAGGCATATGGAGAATATCAAGCGGAATTTAGAAATGTTACAGCAAGTTTGGATAGTTAGGTTAGGTTATTTTAGAAGCTTCATTTCAAAATATTTTTTTTATTGTTTGTTGATACTGAAAAATATTCATCTTAGTTGTTAGCTGACGTTTCAATTTGTTAATTAATATCGGTATACAGTAGACTCCCTCTCATCCGGACACCTTTTAACCGGACTACACTCGGCGGAAATTAGGCCCTACATCTCTTTAACCGGAATTTTTATCAGCACATTGGTTTAACCGGACTAGATCGGCAGGAAGTGGGCAGTACTGAAACGACTGTTCTCATGAGAAAGATTTGAGACCAGTGAATGACGTGTCTAAATACAACGCTCTCCTAAATTTAAGTCGAATATCACAGTAAACAAACCGTTTTAACGAGTTTTTACAGACGTCGGTTTAACCGGAATCCCAGTTATCCGGACTAGCCTCGTTCCCGAGGAGTCCGAATAAGAGGGAGTCTACTGTATTGGATCGAAAATTTAAATATTGATATATCGAAAAAGAAATCATCTATAATAATAAATGTTCTCTATAACAGGAAAGTACCTGCCGGACTCCCTACCAACCACTGATTTTGCGCTTCCAAGGGCTTCGCCCTTTAATCAATGAAGGGGTCCGGTTTAAATTTTTAATCTAGGAAAGGTGGTCACATTGGAACAAGAGTCTCTTCTTTAACAGAAATTAATATATATAACTTTACAACAGAGTTTAGAAAACTAAGAAGAAATAAAGCAGACAACAAGCCAGAATTGTATTCTTAAGTTAAAGTACAAAATTCTCTGAAAATTTTTTAAGTTTGAATAGGTTCTGTGAATATTTAACTTACCTTTGTAACACCCTTCAGCATGTTCTCAATGTGTGAGCATACCGTGCGTACAGCAGCAAGCTCCTTCTTGGTGCCAAACCATTTCTCTACCTTCAGCAGCCTGGGGTTGACCATGTAGATGTCTACGGCCAAGTGCTTAAAGGACCTTTTCAATACTCCTCGAGGTCCCTTAACAGTCACCAGACGGGACTTGACCGAGCAGGTCAATCCCTCTGGGATCTTCACTGTCTGGTTGACAACGATCTGCTTCATCTGTAAACATACATAATTTGTAGAACACCGGTACTTAAAAGTTGCCATTGAACAATGAATTGGTCCATAGGCCTAAGTTATATAAACACAATAAGTTAGGCCTAGGTTGCTAAATTTGCGGAAAGGTTATTATTTCCGACGCCCTTTATAACTCACATGAGGTTCTAAAAGAACCCACGATTTAAAACTTTTGACACCAACACTTAGTTATACAACTTTCTTGGTAGGCCTGTGACTTTTTTTGTCACCGAGGCTTCCTTTGATTAGCCTACTACAATCGGATATCTGCAATAAAGGGTACTGGTGGGAATTCAGGGTTTTGAGTGAGGGGAAAAACTTGCTCAAACATCGTGACAGGGCCGGTTCCTTTACTAGACACGACATTTACATTAAGATACTAGACACCGCCTAAGTACATCCAACTAACCTTTGAACCTAAAACGGTCGAAAAGACCTTTTAAACAGTTCTTTGACACCAACATCTTTTTACTGTAGGGCCTACATATCTGAAATTTATAGAATGTTGTAAATAACTTAGTTAACCTATGCAGCACTTTTGTCCAAAATATTCTCATTTAAATTTTTTTTATTTTAAAAATTTATTTATTCTAGAAAAAAATAGGTATGGTAGGCCTACCTTAAAATTATATATTTAAGTTAACCGAAAATACTACCTTATAGTACATCAGTAAACACGTTCGCTACTGCAATACGAAATTTTTCATTCACATGGGCCAGCGACGCACATATGCGACGGCCAGTTTCCACTCATAGTCACATTAAAATAGACTACCGTCGCATATTTGCGTCGAGGTTCTAATGTTATTAAAATGCTTACGGTATATCTTTGTAACGGTCTATTTGAAGGCACTGAATTCCCTGCAGTGGTCTACAGAGATGTCTGATGCACAACTGCGTCGCTTGGTCTGTGGATATGATGATTGGTGACGTCATAATGATAGTTGAAAAAACTAGTCTTTACTTTTCTGCATCACTATATGTATGTATGCTGCATTATCCTATGTAGCTTTTATATTTGTTCAGTTATAAACTGTTCTTGAATAATCTGATTTATTTACTTACTTTTACCTCAAACAAAAATGAACTGTGGCATATATGCAACGTTTGGTCTATTTCAAGAAAACTATGATTATTTTCACTATTGTCTTTGCTGAAGACCGGGCGTCGCAAATATGCGACATTACAAAAGGTTAGGCTATAAAAATTACAAAAAAACAAGAATCAATTATTTAGTTATTTTACAAACTCAATTGGAGCGTATTACAATGTAAATGATCACTGTTTTACAGGTTTGCGACCGTGGTCTGTGTGTACTGTTAATCAAGTGACAGCCGGTCTATGCGTAAGATTCAAATGTAGGCCTATACCTCGGTCTGTGGAAATGACCACGGCGTCGCATATATGCGACGCTCAGTAGCGAAAGTGTTAAAGAACTTCAATCCTTTAACTACAATCAGAATTAAGTTACTTAGTCGTCTAGTTTAAAATATACAGCAAGTTTGATTAAGTTAGGTTAGATTAATTTTAATGAACGGAAGAGCAATCTTTATTGAAAGAGAAATCGGATGGGATTTTTCTAAACTTATCTTTCCATTCAGGCAGGTTCCTTAATTAGACACCACTTGTAGATTACTAGACACCATTTAAGATAAGCCTATATATTAAGTTAACTTATTTACCGGTCAACACACTAACTTAACTTAAGTTACTCTGATTTAAATTGTGTTAAAAAGTTGTATTTTGGGGTTTTGGACTTAACCCCTAAGTTAAGTTTATTACAAAACCTTTTTTATACACTTTTGACACAAGTCCACACTTCAGGAGGTGGAAATAGGGTGAGTTGGAGATCGGAAATATTAGATTAGGCCTAAGTATAGGCTAACCTAAGTTACTTACTTAATATCTGCCCTGTGTTCAAAGAACTAAGAACTTATAGGCTAGTTTGATAAATTAATCCCAAAGTCAAATACCTAGGTGTTCCTCTAAAAGTTAACCCTTTGAGTGCAGCCGCCTCTCGCTACGAGACACACCATTATCGTTGCTTGAGTGCCGAGTGTCTCGTATACCGAGACGCCCACAAAATTACTTGGTACTTACGTATTATACGGAGGCCACATATTTTACAACGCGCTGCAGCGGTTATGTTAGGTTGGGTTATCATAAATATATGTTTTTTTATCAAATTAAACTATCTTAACCTAACATACATAACCAACCAAACTTGCTGATGGTGAAGGTTTACTAATCGAATCGAATCTGTAGTTTAGGTGGCCTCCGTTTAATACGTAATTACCAATTACTTCATACAGTATCTTAGGCTATTTCAATAAAGCTGGCTGCAAAACACACCAAATTATGCGACAGAAGGAGGTTGGCAACAACTATTTTGCTCATATAGGTAGCCTACTGTAGAATGGAGCTGAGAAATGTGGTCAGCCAATCAAAAACCATTAGCCTACGCAATAGTATACGGCTTTACACAGCTGGGTTGGGTGTTTGTGTTGCAACTGTTTATGTTCTAGAAGGCCTAAATGTTTGTTTACGAATAGGCCTAGTTGGGTTATAGAATTGCAGGTAATGGTCATGAATCACTGAAAGGTTCGTAGCTGGATATAGGCTATAATGGCCTGGAAAGGATTCTGTAATCTTGGTCTAAGCTGACTAGTGCCCTAACTTGACTTATTATAGCCTACAATGGCCTAGGACCTGTCATAGGACTTACAAAATTATCCAAACATAACCTAAGCTTAGGTGTCATGGGTTTAGGATGCAAGTTGCTAAAACTTAATTTAAAAATTGGTTGCATTAATGACATTACTTATCGCTAACAATTAAATGGGAGTAGACATACACTAACACTTGCGCATAAATAGCCTACGTTACTTTGTCAACTTATAGGTTTACTCCACTCTAGGTTAGACGACTACAAATTGTTATCCTACATAAATATCCACGAAAACTAACGCCAAACAGTGCGCCCAGATGTATTATAATATTATTTACATACAATTATAATGTTGTACCAATAATTTGAAGGATTAATATGGATAAATCTAAATAAATACTATGACATTACCTTTGCAAGTCCCTAACTTGTCCCGGAAAGAGAGCAGGCGATGACTAGATTTCGTTGTTCAAAACGGAAACAACGCCTGTTAGATTACACTGAAATATTTTCGTTTATATATATATACTATACCTTAGTTTTGATTTTTTACTAAACCCAAAGTAAGTTAGCCTATCTATAAGTATAAAAGAGGATGTTTGATGTTTGTATATATATATATATATATCTATATATATAATTCTGTGAGAGAAAATTTTTACCAGAAAATTGTGGACGTCTAATAACTCACAGAAAAGTGGGAGAGGTCTTAAATTAAAGGTCTTGACCCCAGGGACTCGGGAAAAATAGCAGAATTCCCATAAAGTTACCAGAAAACGAGATATAACGTAAAATATCCACCATAAGAAATGCATGGGGACTGAAAAACGTCTGCATTCTATCAGCTGTTACTTATTTATTTGCAATGTTTACATTTATTCCGAAAGTCAATCTATGAAGATTAACCAGTGAACATATGAAGATGTTGTCATCATATGAAGATTAACCTGTGACTCAATGTTGGTAAATAATGTTTGAAAATGAATTGTGTTTAATTTTTTGTTTCCCGTTTTATAATAAGTGAAGTAGCTAGGCAGGTTAGGGGAAGACCTGCAAGACGTGGAAGAGTGTCCAGGAATTCAACAGACTTCAGAAATGCAAAAGAGAATGTCATGTAGGGCCTAACTGTGAAAGGAATCCAGAAGCTGTTTTACAACCTGTCTTTAGAAGAACGCTGGAAATGAGTTGAGCGTTGTTTCTCACAATCTAGGCCCTCTTAAAGCACTTGCATGCATTTTGGCGCATTTCACTTCGCAGAGGAGGCCACAAATGGACATTTCAACGCATGTTGCCACAATGGACATTCCACAACCACAAGTAAATGACGAACTAAATGAACTGTTTTTACATGATTCGAACTTCATAAAAAACATAAGGCAATACAACAGTGCAATGGCTTTTGCGTCGCTTTCCGCTACACAAAAAGAGATTCCTGGAAATGGCCTTACTGTTTTAAAATTCAGGGACGAATTCATAGATATATTTCTGACTTACTACCGCGAAATGGGGAGTTGCCTTCATAATAATTAATAATAATTTTAACCTTTACATTTGGTTCTCAAAATAGAAACTATAACAGAATTCGAAAGATTAGAAAAACAAATCTTCAATTTTAAACTAGAAAAGATGTGCAATGTGCTGTATTTAAGCTCTGATTCGTTGTTCTCCGGGCTCAGGCCAAACCGTGTGCACGTTTCTATTTGTTAATATGTTGTGTTATTGATCATTATTTTACAATTGTATTTCATTGACACATCAGAAGCAATTAATATACGACTCCAACGAAAGGAAAACCAAGATATGAAACAATAAACACTGTTAATTAACGTAAAGTAACATAAAATTGATACCGGTAATTTTAAAAACATATTTCAAACATTTGTCCTTTTATATATGGTATTTTTTTGTAGTCTAAATTAGGGGCTATGGCCCCTACAGGCCACTAGTATATATATATATTTGTTTGTTTGGCAGTGATAAACTCAGACACCGCTGAAACGATTGCCACGAAACTTGCTACATACGTGTAGAATGTCTTGGAATAGGTTTATACACCATCAATTTCGTGATCCGTCCAATCGGCTCCGCGCCATAGTGGCTCTGGAGTTTCCCATGTTAACCTTATGAGAAATGGAATTAATGAATCTTAACAGCTGTTTCAATTAAACAAGTTGGTTCTGTTCTATGATGTTCAATAGCATTAAAGTTAAAAGGATTACCAACAGGGTGCAGCACTATTATTTCTTTTACATTCATGACAACAGCTAATTTGCAACCAAAAGGTGAGTGAGCGTAGCGAACGAACTTCAACCTGGAGGCGAGTTAGCGTAGCGAACGAGCTAACCTGAAGGCAAGTGAGCGTAGCGAACGAGCTAACCCGAAGGCAAGTGAGCGCAGCGAACGAGCTCCAACCTAAAGGTGAGTGAGCGTAGCGAACGAGCTCCAACCTAAAGGTGAGTGAGCGTAGCGAACGAACTTCATACTGTATATAAAGGAGGTTTCAACTGAATACTATAAGATCCCCGTGCGTAGAACGGGTACACAGCTAGTTATACAAAAAAATAGAAAACTATGGGTTCTGAAAGTAAAGTTCTTATTCTATAGTGTAAGTTAAAGTCTCAAGCTATGTTCGATGAGTGTTTCAACGGCTTCGTTTGAGAGTGCTTATGCACGGCCACCTTTACTACAGGCCGCGGCCTGGTATAATTGGCAACGTCGCAAGTGGTGTTGTTTTAGTGACAGACGTCCCGTAAGATAACATGGCAGACATGTGACATCAGCTCAAATTCTCACTGTATTGATTGAAATTTAAATTTATGAACATAAATTTATTAAAATATTGAAAATAAAACATACAGAAATGAAAACCGAAACAATATGAATTAAATATTGATATCTGTGCATTTTAAGCGGAGTCAATATTGTCATAGTACTGTAACCAATCTTTCGTAAATACACATATGCCATTAAGCTGCTTCCAAACAAAACAGCTGTTACAACACGAGTTGTGACGTTGCCACTTCGAAGGCCGCGGTCTGGAGTTAAAGACGACCGTGCATAAGCACCCTTATGGCTTATGCCATTAAATGTTTCTCTATACTATATAAGAGCTATACAATGCTATTATATGAGTGCTGAGAAGCACTCGGTACTTTTATCCAGCAACAATGAACTGGAGGCACTTGAGCTAAACAACATTCTTGCCATCAAAAGAGCCATGGAATACTGTGCCAACAATGACCTGGTTTTCAACAAAAACAACACAGAGCAAGTACTCTTTGGGAAACTTAAGAACGATGCGATGTCACTTGCACTCTCCCTCCAGCCTCCAGACATACAAGCTACTGAGTCAATCATACAACTTAGAATAGGCCTAATTTCGGACCAGGAACTGCGTTGGGTTGGGGGCCCACATCGACCATCTCTGCCAACGACTCAGCTCCTCCATTTTAGCTCTAAGAAGAATCAACAGTACTGCAACAGCCGATGCAACATGGGCAGCATACCAACTGCACTGCAAAAACCATGTCTCTGACTGGACAGTAATGGCAAATAAACAATGTGCACACTTAGGAAAGACGACAATCTTATCAGGACCTGGATAAAAAGTTACTGAATTTTAGGGGCTAATTCACAATATAGTCACCTTTGAACAGAACTGTACTGCCAGCGAATATTTTTGCCACTCCAAGGTTTGCGGTTATCTATCACCGTAGATTTAATAGCCGCAAGTCTAATGTTATATAGTGCACACATAAACTGAAATTATCATTCTGGTCTCTATGTTTCGATCAATGACGGCGTCTGCTACAGCTTTCCGCGACGTCCGCTAGGTTCGTAGCTGTCATCCTCCCTCTTTCTTCCTCCGCTCAAATTTATCAATACAGCTTTCGCTCTTGTGCGGTCAACTGCGTGTGTAGTGGCTGCCGGTGCGTTGTTTGTGTTATTGGTGATTTTGTGACTAAATACATCCGCCTGGACGTTACTTGCCGGTTCCAGTTTATCGGTAAGCATGCCTTTAAATACTTCGCATCATAAAACTTTTGTTATTTTGCTTCGCTAAAGTTTTGTTGAGATGAAGGAACTCCCACCCTTATTTCGCCCTTGTGGGTGGCTCCCCTTCTATTATCTTGATAAAATTACAAGAACCATTTAAATTTGGTAATTAATAATATTTAGGCATACACATGTTTTGTTAAATCTACATTTTAATTCTTTTCCATAAATCCTTCGAAATGAGTTTGGATGCTTAAATCAATCTCGTAACGTAAGATGAATGTGATCTCTACGAGATCTTAATTGTTATTACAAAATGTTGTTATATCCAGCAAGCGTGTTTTCAATATGTAATTAACTAAGAATAAAATTATTTAACGCAAAATTATTGTTTATGTTAGTCTAATAACATTAGAACGGGTCTACACTGTAATGGGTTATTTCATCTTGACGATCCGGCTGCATGTGTGTTTATTAATTATTTTTTACATATACTTTACTGAATTGTTTTCTTTTAGAATCCAGAATGTTGGAATTGCTAATAGTAAACCTCGTATCATTTGTCTAACTAATTGTCATAAATTTTACTGATACCTAGTTTAAAACGTATTAAAATTAACTTAAACCCTTATTTATATAAATAGCTGTAATTTTTCCTAGGCTACTCAATTTAATAAAGCATTTCATTACATTTGAAATACTATGGAGATTCTTCAAACGATTTTCTTGGATATTTTTCTCATACCTGTAATATGTTCTTGGCAATTTTTGGGTCCATTTAATTTATAACAACCAGAATCTTGAACCTTCTGTTAGCTACACGAATATTTGTTTTTCTTTTTAGGCTACTTGTAAAATACTCAAGTGATAAAACATTAGACTCCGTGTTTAGCATAATTTATTTTATGGTATGTTAAAAAAACTTAAAAGTTGGTTAGGCCTAAATTTTTTTAAGAATATTGTTTTCAAAAAATGTTTGTTATCTTGTTGGCAAGATTGTATTGGCGAATGATTTAAATTTTATTTCTTTTCTTTTAAATATGATGTAATTCGTTTCTTAGTAGTTAAAATGCTTAAAAATCTCAAGTCGGTACCTATCCTTTTTAATCGCCGTTCCTCAACCGGAACCGTCCATTAATTGTTGTCATTTCTTTTTCTCCTAGACCTTTCCGCTGCCGCCTCGTCCATTGTTGTAGCTATTTGGTTTGAATTTTAAACATCTTCAACCATTCCAAAACGTGAAGAATAATGACCAGTCTTCGATTTTCACTATTACGTTCTGAATTCTTTATGACTTGTCATGTAGGTTACAAACATCATACAAACATTTGTTATACTGTAATAACAAATACTGTATAACTAGTAAAAAAAAAAACATTTAGTTTTTAAAGCTATTTTGGGGTTCTTTACATGCTCAAGGTTTTTATATGAGCCTAATAAAATACGAATTCACAACTACATTCCCATATTCAATTCACATTAAAATGTGTGACTAATTCGTCTTATGGACAGTAATCAATTTTATTGCTTATAACAATGTTTTATGGTTTCAATTAAATTCAGTATGTAGCCTAAAATATAATACTAAATTTTAAGATTCAAAAAGGTTAATCTAAATAAATATAATTAGAGTGTTGTCTGTACATTGCTCAGAGTTATATTATTTTTGTTATTTTTACATTTTAGCGAATTTTCTTATAGGGAAGTAGCTATTACCGTAGGTGGCACGATCAGACCGAGGCCAGGTGGCCGGGACCGATTTACTTTTTCATTTTGATTTTTGATGGCCCCAGAGGCCAAAAACACCATTAGTTCAAATTTATATATATGTATGTATATATATAAGCACTTACCCGAAAATTACAAAAAAAAATACTTATTATTGTTACCGGAAAATTACTTGAGTAATTTTTGTCCGATTTGTATGAAATTTGGTTGAAAGGTGTAGGGCGGGATAAACTTTAATGAGTTCGCGAACCAGCATGATCGGACTATGGGAACGGGGTTTTACGGGGAGTTTAATGGGGTAATAGTTGGTTTTTCTAATTTTTGACCCTCAAAACACAAATCTTCCCAATTTCTCCCTAGACCTTTTTAAAGAGCTCAAAAAAATAAATAATTTAGTATACCAATGTGTTTTGTACAGTTATTGGTGACTTAACGGAGAATATTTAAAAAAATGTAACTTTAAAATTCCCATGTTATTCCTATGGAGAATATTCTAAAATGTTAAAGGCCTAGTTTGCTTGTTTATAAAAAACGTTGTGCTTTACATAACGGAATTAATTAATCGCAAGTGCAATAATGTGTAACTGTAAATTAAATTAAATTTCTAGGCATCATTCAGGTCGTTAACCGGAAATTCTGTGTGTGTATAAAATTGTACTTGAGTTTTGATAATCGGGAAAAAGACCCTGAAACAGTCCTCTTTACGGAGTTTTGCCTGCATATCTGAAAATGCACACTAAATATGCAAACCCACTGCTGTTCTGATTATGAAAGTCTCAACCGACTACATGATCCCGTCCGTAGAACGGGTTCGCAGCTAGTATAGGCCATAATAATTTTTTAATTCCACCTGCGCTTTCGAAACAGTAGGTATCAATACAGGGCATATTTTCAATTTGGGAAACCTTTAAAAACAATTTATGAAACCTCAACATCCTAATGCTTAAGGAATCCTATTTTATAAAAAACATACCAAAATTATTTGCTAAATAATGAAGACGGTCCAATTATTAACTCTGAACTAAAACAAATAGTAGGCCTACCAAGAACAAAATTATATCCAATATTCAAAAGAATATTTTTTCTTATTATTTCCAATATCCTTTTATATCATGATCTGTTTAAAACTTAATTTAAAATCAATTTATTCAAATATTTACCTAAATATTTTCTTTTTGTATTTGTTTTAAACAGAGCATGAAGATGAAAACATCGTTTTTGGAAGCGCTTATGGATTTAAAAGTTATCTGTTTTTACTGTTTTGTTAATATATATAATGCCCATTGTGATTATTTGTATATTTACGTTGTACTGTTTGTTCGCAGGTCGAGTGCGTGCCGCGAGTGCAGTGCAGTGAAGTGCGCGGTCGTGTTACATGCGCGCCGCAGTGTAAGTGCTTTACCTAAAAACATCATGAAGCACTTGGGCGTGCTTCTTTTTCTTATGCTCTCCATCTCCTTAGGTGAGTTTTCCACATTAATTCAGTATAAATTAGTTAGTTAAGAAGGTTTATGTGTATATTTTGCACTGACACATTGACTCAACGCAAACAAGATACTTCGCACACAAATTATATAATTGTTGTACGGATCGATAAGGAAAGCAATAATTTTCAACGCAACGCTCTCAAACTTAATATGGTCCTTTGAGCCGGATAAAGAAAGACATTATATGAAAATGATTACAGTACCGTACCGGTACTTAAAAAAAATCTGCTAATAGATAAATTAACTTTCGTATTTTATGTTAAAAATCTAATCATGTTAAACAGGACAACAGCTTTTTTATGAATAATTCTGCCTTTACCACCTGAGCTTAGGTATACTTACGAATAGATATAAAAGTGAAACATTCAAACAAAATAATTTCGTTAGAAATTCAGTAATCTTCATATGGTCATCTTTAAATGCCTTGGGTCGAAATACATTCATGGGCCTCATGTTTTAGTGCGTGTTTCCGGTGTGGCCATGACAGTTTCCGGTCAGTGCCTCATGTATATTGTCTCCCATGTGGCTCATTAGTCTGTAGAAGTCAGTGGAGGGGAGAAGGGGAAGGAACTACTAGCAACAATCAATTTTCTTGGATGACTCACACTGTAGGTGATTCAGCAATGGAAGGGGATTTCTTCGTTCTACTTCGTTGAATAGTTTATAAATCATGACGGTAGAAGTGTAAAAGTTAGACAAACGTCTTCGAAAGAACTGCCAACATCGGGATATCCCGGCACCACTACTGTGTATAATTGGCATTGGTCCAAGCGCTCCCACAGAAATCTCTGACGCGCAAATATACTTGACACTCGTCCGCCATGCAACTTCCATGTTTGTAGGTTTGATTATTGTTTTGTAGGCGTTGTTGAAGTCGAGATATTCTAGGTCTATTGGATTCTGGCGTATTTCTGAGATACATCTTTGTTTTGAAAGCCCGATGAGGACAGTTTCTAAGGGAGTGATTGATTTTGAAACTTTTCAACAACCAATATTTTAGTATTTCAGTGAATTTAATTATGTTTCAAAGAGTTTGGAAATTATCTGTATGCTAGGGTTCATTCTATTTTTATCTTTAATATCTTAAATGTGCACGCTGTTTCCTGAATCCTGATGCAAAAAATATTTCGAAAATTCTATCTCTTAAAGTGTTTACCCCGTACCATCTGCCTCTAGTTTAGGTCCAGCAGCTGTGCACAGTTCGAGCCCCAGGTAGAAAGGCCCATCCTTTACGTAGGCTAGACCGACGTCTTAAAGATGTCCTTATTTGCTTTACGTTTTTTTGTTTGTGGAATCATAGAGAATTCATAAGAAAGCTCAAACACATTAACACTAGCATTGACGTAGCTGATTAGTAGGCCTACTATACTGCAAATACGATTTGAAACTATAATCAGTAGAATATTACATTACTTATCTTAAATCATTAGTAATGATCCAACTAGTGGATTTAAATACAGCTGTGATGGTGATAATGCATAAAATAATCCAACAGAAATCGGGAACAAACTAATGTTTTACAACAATAGAAGATTTATTCGTAAGCTTAGTCTAATGATCAAATACTGCAAGTAATCATCAAAATTTAGGAGAGTTATGTAACAAATATTTTCAAATAAAATATAATTTTATACATATCACTACTTTGGATGAACATAAAATAATAAGAATGGATCGGGTTAAATCTGAAACTTATGATTCGTTCAAAATCACAACAGAAACACGAAATCAAATCATTGACGTAGACAAATGGCATTCAGACACTGTAAAGAAGACCAAAGCTCAGTACTTTCAGCTGAAATATTCACAAGTCTTTGCTTGAGTCGTTACTTTGGTGGTCCGTGACTCAGTCAACATTGTTGATCCGATTCAGTCACGCCAACGCAGTTAGTCTCTTTCAATATTTGCAGATTTCCTTTTCAAGGATTAAACATAATGAACGATATTTGCTAATATGTAATGGTATTGGACACTGTTAAATAAAGGACCCTTATTATACGTTACTGGGCTATATACGTTCTAAGAATGTTATAGTTTTGTTGTCTTATGTATCAGCTGGCGCTAATTTAGCTCAGTATGCTTATATCCGATAGAGTTCTAGTTTGTTGCTATTTATTTTGTTGTTATATTACCAAATCTTTGATGGTTTAACGAAATCGAACGATTTATTTCTTAAATATCGCTTCACGTCTGTATGTACTATTTTATATGCCATTTTAATATAACCATTGAGTCAACTACTTGTTGAAAAATAACACTCAAAAACAGACACTTACAATGGACACTTCCCTACTGTAATAACTCAAATACATTTGAAACATACTTTTTTACCATTGAATGATAAGTCTATTGACAGGTCCCAAATAAATCATCTAAATACAGAAACTAGTTGATAATATACTATATTTATAAGCCTTTAATTAAGCCATTATAAATATTAGTTTTTTTTATATTTAAATACAGAAAATCTTAAATCTTAATACTTTTCAAACGTTTGAATGCATATCTATGTATTAATGAGTTTAACAATATCGTCCATACTTAGCAATTTTATTGACATCACAACGTTTTAACGAAACTCGATATCATCGACATCGACTAGCCTTTGTGAAGTTAAGGAGGGCAAGGCTGAATAGACGGCATATTGTATGCGGGTTGCCGGCAATTAATTATAATTGAGTACAAGATCACTTTTACTAATTTACTGATAAACATATTTTTTTCAAAAGTAAAACAATCCGTAGTTTGTTTCTGTTTATTTCCTGCTTCAGTTTTTTTCTTACTGACATAATCCATTAATTTTAAACAATCTTTAATCAAATCCTATACTCTAAACAAAGCGTGAGTAAACTAGGATTTTTTTACTTTTTTTAATATGGGGTATTTGGGCACGGGAAATAGATTGGAGTTTGTCAAAGTGCTGGGAAAAATCCGGGTTCTGTCCTACAACTGGACACGTTTCTGGTGATCAATATTATTTGCAGTTGCAGCATTTGGTTTATACCACAAACGTTTAAAGTAAATTGATTTGTTGATGACAGTCGACTATATACGCAATATAAGGTGGAAAAGTGCAAAACTTGCATGACATTGATTGATAATCCTTTCCTACTTTACTAGCTCCAATCGTACGAGGAAATTGTAACTTAGTTAGGTCTTATCTATAGACAGCTGCACCAGGAAATGTAAGAAACAATTTTAAGCCAATTTTTAAACTTTTTGTAATGGAAACGTTTATTTATAAAGTATATGCATCATGTTTAATGTATGTTTTAATGTAGGGCGAATGTTAATAATTTAATATCAAGAACAATTCAACGAAACTAACCAGCCAATTAAGTCCCAAGAAAAATAATAATTGATTCTTTAACTATCATACTTCTACAAGCCTGTAAACGTAGTAAGGTTAATAATCTGCTGGTTTTAGCTCGTCATAGCTGTAGAGTTCTGATCATGTTGCTTGGTTTATTCACGTTTCCAAACTTTTACTGGAAAATGATACGGATGACAACGCCATCTTACCACCACTAATGACGAACTTTGAACAAAGATGCAGTCGCTTAACACAGTTTCATAAAACGAGTTTCATAAAATAATCATAATGTGCTGTTAAGTAGATTTTTATTTAAATGAAAACAAGTATACCACTAAAAATATAATTTTTTTAGGTAATAGCGTGTATCGTCCCAAATGCATACATACTAACGAGTTCAGGGAAAATAAGATTGTAACATTGAATAATATGTTCACATCTAAATCGTGTAAACCTCATTAATGAAATACATCCCAAGAATTTCTTATACAATAAGCAGTTTTGCACTGCAGTAATTTCTTCACGCAGCTGTGGACTTCAAAGTTTCATTGTCGTTGTGGTACAGTGGCTTGCTGTGGCCTCCGTTATTATAAGTGGCTGTTAATAAATAACATGATGGTGAACACATGTGCAACTATCAACAGACTCTCTGTATAGCACCAGGATGTTGGGATGGTCGAGTCACTTGACGTTCGTGACATACAAACTTTATATACATTGAATATACTTCGTGGTTCCGTAAATTTCCGTAGTGGGAAGTAGCTAATACCGCATTCTTCATGCAGAGATAGGCACCGGACAACTGAACGTTAATTCGTTTTAGCGTCTTCCAACCCTAGAAAGACTTATAGGGTTACACATGTTGAGAGTGCTGTGTTGATTTTACCTATAATGTTTATTATAGTAGGCCCAATAAAAAATAATACTGTAATAATAAATTATTATAAATTGTATAATTCAGCTGGAAAAGGCAACAGTTTTGAAATTTGGAATTATTCTCGGTCTATTGACAACCGAGATATTCAGTGTTACACGCTGTACGTTGTGCGTGTTATTATCATTATAAAAATATTATTGTGTATGTTGATAGTTTATCGATGTATACAATCTGTTGAATTTCATTACTGTTCTTTGCAAAAAACCTAATGAGTCATGACAACAGTTTAATTTAGGCTGGGTCTAATATATGCGTAAACCTGAATGGAAATTAATTCAGTAAAGCAACTATTAATTCAAATAGTATGCAGGTTTGCTGCATAAGGGGTTGTATTGTTTTTGATCCCTCTTTGTTGGATGACCGAAACAGCACTTCAATTTGGTTATAAAACCTTATATTTTCGTATCAATCAATCAATTATTTAAGATGGGGACGCCACTATGTGCGTATTGTAATTTAAATATGAGTGATGCGATCTTGTAGTCTTGTTAGTGACTAAGGCCGACATGTTCCTTAGACACAGCTGTTAAGCCCATACAACCAATGGCAACTAAGGGACCTACAGTTTATAGTGGAATCCGAACTAGATATTCCCTCGTAATTAACGAATTGGTCTAATTATCAGAATAGTACTGTGGATAGTCGTAGTACTCACTAGTGCGGACTCTAATCCACACCAGGGAGCATCGCATCCACAGTTTATGCCAATAAATATCCACAATTCG